CCAACGAACCTAAAAATGCCCGGCGCATCCGTCTCACGTGGAAGTCAAAATTCCCCTTGCCCATCGGCCGCGCTAGAAACGATGGCAACGGAGAGGCTGGAGGCCGTCTTTTTCGTCCCTTCCCATACACACTAAACCAGACTGGCGGGAGTGGCTCAAGCCAATGGGTGAACGGGCTGAGCTGCAAGTTGGCGGCAAGTAAACAAGAAGCAACAAGTTTGCTCGGGAGGCTATCGACGACGACGTCTGTGCCCGGCGTGCAGTGTATGTATATCCACGTACTGACCAGGGCCGTTGGTCGTAGAAGGTACTCACTTGAGGCGCTGATGGCCAACAAAAAGAAGTTGAAAGGGACGGAGGGAGCTTGTGAGCTTGTTTTGCTTGCGGTCTGTGTGTCTTGATAGAAACCCGAGGGCGTATCGTATTACAGTAGGTTCGATTCTCGCAGCAGAGCGGCCGAGTGCGCCGACCCGCCTCACGGCGTTGCCTCTTTTGTGTGAGCAGAAAGTGGCTGCATTGGCCGCGCGCGCTGCAAAAGACAAAGTCTCATGCTGAAGCAGAGTACGTACAGGTACTCAGGGCATACTCCCGCGCTCCGCCCAGTGCATACCGCCTGAACTGTGCTTGCAAAGTACCTCTCTCATATGTGGTACCTTTGCCTGAACTGTCTTGACGTCTGCTCGCCCGTCCACCCCAAACAAGACCGCAAACCTGCCCAAACCCGCAGCATCTTCTGCTTGCGTTGCCTCCTTCTGTTTGAGTGACAGACGTCAGACTGCTGTACATGCGTACTTTGCAAAAAGCGACCTGCTTACACGTAACAAACAGGGAGAGAAACTTGAGAAACGGCGCCGGCTTGCCCCACGCCACCATCCATGGGAGGCTTCGCTCGCGGCTCGGTCCATTCAGCTGGGAGGAGCTGGGAAGAAAGACTAACTGGCCCTAGAAGCCAAAAAATTCGAAAAGGCCTAAAAGCCGTGGGCGCGAGCGAAGAAGCATGAAACCAAAACGCGCGGGTTGACGACGGCGTCGACGATGGTGAGGCTTCTAAAGCAACCCGTAGTGGCCCTTCTCCGCCCTCTCCGGGCCTAGGGACTCTATCCGGCGCCCGGATATTACTCGCGCGCAGCCCATGGCTTGGATGAACAATCTGGACTGGACGGAGCTTTTTTTTTTTTGGTATTGATGATGGAAGCTGTTTGGATCTTTCTGCTGGAGCTCGCCGATGGCTAGCTGGTGCGCTATTGCTTTGCTTTGCTTGCTTGCTTGTCCGCCCTGCTGCTGTTTTCCGTCGGTGTGCTACGACGGCGCATGCATGTACGTACCTTTATGTACGTACCTTATGTACATCCATACGGACGACGACGTTCTGTCTCCACGGCGCAGATGGATATGATTGATGAGGGCTTACGAGAGGAGCAGGAACTCGCATATGCACCATATATTGGCATCGGGCAGCTCATTTCGGAGCACGTTCTTAGTCAGAGATGACTGCTACGACACGGGGCGGCTAGCAAGATGGAACAATGAGGAGAGATGCACGGAGGAGAATGACGGTGACGTCGCGAACGACGTCGACGGACATGTTGACGGTGAAAAGAGACACAGCACTCGTAGTTTGGATTTGGAGTCGTTGTATCAAACGCAAACGCCGGGGAGTTAGACACGTCCCATGTAGATGCGGCATCGCTGTCCGGGCCGCGCATCTTCGCCCTTTTCTGTCCCAGCTGTCGTCCGTGACCGACGGACGGCCTACTGTACTCCAAGGTTGTACCTACAGCACGAGTACAAGTACAAGCGCAAAGTAACTACTACACGCACTGGCGCCGGGCCTTGAATCAATGCAGCCTGTTTGAGCGCTCGCAAATCACCTGGAAGAACATGTACCGGCCGCTAGTGCGTGCGGAGCAATTTTGGAGCTGCTGTATCACCATCGTGTCTGTTCGGGCAGTTGGAGGTCTTGGAGGAGGAGGTCTACTGGAGCTTCCTGGACTGGGTACCTGTACCTGTACCTGTACTTGTGCTTCGTGCTCGCTCGGCCTGGCTACCTTATGGTGAGCTGGCCAATGGCAGACGGGGGCAGTCCAACTTGTGCAGAGCCCACACGCTCCTCTCCTCCACCATCACGGGTCGGTCCCCATGCCGTCCATCATATGGCGCCTCAGTAATGTTTTCCTTCCTTTTTCTAGTCTCTTTCTCGTCTCGTTGCCTCGGACATGGCCGAGTTCTTTGGGCTGGTACCTGGTACCTCTCTCTGTGAACGCTGCTGCCGCTGGGTCCCTGTAACGTGTACGAGTCACCCTCTGCCGTCTCGTCCTCCACGTCTGCCCGAGTACCGACCCGTATCATCTGCCCGCAGCCGTCCATCTGTCCAGACCCTCGCTCACAGGTGTTGTGATCGCTCCGACCTCAGCACCCCCTGGTCGCCCCCGAGTTCTGGGCAACAGTGCTCATTGGGTGCCAACAAAGACTGCCCCCGGCCACTGGACTGGCGACGTTGTATGTAATGTATTGCCGCTTCTTGTCCCCGAATCATACTGTACCAGTGCGGACGGGAGAGACAGGCACGGGTCAGGGTGGCCATGAGAAAACAACCTTGGCTGTCAAGAGAGATAGGCAGCCAGAAGTGAAAGTGAAAGCCCGGCAGACAGCGCGCAGGGCTCCCTTGCTTGGGCTGTATCGCCGACATCATCCCACAGACCTCTGGCGTTCTCGCCGCCGTCCCAAGTTGGAACCCTGTAATGAAGCCCCAGTTTCTCGTTAGCAAAACCCTGCCCATGGACGGACGTGTACCTGGTCGACAGCGCCAGTCGAGCCCTTGACCGCAGGTACCTGCCAGCCTAGCACGACAGCTAGCTGCTTAGCGTGTGCCTGGGAGCTGTCTTGGAGCTCTTTGGTGGCGTCAGCGGGCCATGCGCGCGCCCCCCCCAGACCACCAGAATGCCAAAAATACGGACGACGGCACAAGTTGAGAGTCCCATGTCAACGGTTGGAGGTTGGATGCTGGAGGCTGGAGGTACCGGGCATTCGCACAAGGTAGCAGTGCATGTACCTGTACCTGGCGCCAATCCGACAGACACCCTCGCCCGTCTGGTCCTGTCCTGAGTCGGGGTACGGGCCAGGATGGGAGGAGACCATTTCTCGGGCTGGAGTCGAGCGAAGGGCCATCAGCATCTCGTCTCACCTGGACGGCACTGCACACAGGAGAGCCTTTTTTTTTCTTTCTTTTTTCTTAGTCCTCCTGCTCGTCCCCTTCGTCCTCTCCTCCAGCTGCTGCTGCTGCTACTACTACCACCACCCTCTCGCACGCTTCTGACCTCCCGCGGCCGGCTCGTGCTTCTGACACTCACACCCTCCTTCCGCCCATTTGCCCGTCGCTCGTTCGCCTAGGCTTGACTCGACCCCAACTCGAACTCGACTCGACGTGCTTGCTCCTCGACTCCCCATCGGGCAGGATTGGCTGCTAGGCTGCTGCAGGGTTCTGGGTTCTGGGTTCTGGGTTCTGGGTACTTGGGAACTTTGTCTCGCTCGGCAGGCCCTTGGCCTGGTCTTCCTTCTTTTTTTTTTCCCATCCCGCCCCCACAAGCTGCCGGCAACCGGAGAGATAGCTTGGTGAAGCTCTCGCCGCTTCCTGCTCCTGTTCCCGTCTCTCTCTCTCCATCCCTCGCCTCTCTCTCCTCGCCCTCTCCTCCGCCTCGCCTCTGCCCTCTGTCCATCCTGCTGCCCAACGAGAGGCTCGTCCTGGTTGATCGCCCCCCTTTGCCGCGTTCGTTCGCGTTGCTGGGTTTGGGGCTAGGCCTAGCCGTCGATAGCCCGTCTCTGACCTCGACTATCAACCGAACGTCGTCCTGTGCTCGTACCGCTCCCGTACCACACCTGTCCTGTCCTGTCGTGTATACCGCGCTCCCGCGCCTCGCAGTCTCTCCTCCAACGGCGGCGGCAACTCAGATGTCATCATAGTCGCCCTAATCGTGTGAGGCTCACCCACCCATGTTCCTGGTTCCCGGTCGTCTCCCGCTGCCAGAGGTCCAATAACCAAGCACCGCTCATCGACACTCCCCCCGGCGTCCTGGTGTTTCGCCCTTCAGCCCATGGCCAACACCCCTCTGTGGTCCTTGCTTCACCTCTCGCCTCGTTCCTGATTATGTATCCGCGTGTTCTAGCTTGCACTGTCTCTACGTCAAGCCAGCAGCATGGATTCAGGTCCCGACAGCAAACGGCCGCGCCTCTCCTCGTGGGCGGGTGCTGGCCCGCAGCCCACCACGCTGCCGCATCCTCATCATCATCTTCCTCCCTCACCTCACCACTCTCTTCCTCATCCTTCCCACGCTCCTCATGCTCCCTCGACCCAGCTGCCGCCGCCGCCGCCTCCTCCTCCTCCTCCCCAGGGCCCTTCTCATCATCACCACCACCTGCACCATCACCACCACCCGGCCTCGAGTCCCTATTCGTCCTACCCGCCTAGACCCTCGGAGCTGCCTCCTCCTGCGCCGCCAGCACCGGCCTCGGCCCACGGGCATGCCCAGCAGCATCCTGACATGGACCGTCGACACTCCGACCAAGAGATTCTCGCTCCCATGCAAGACCCGTATCGCCAGCCGCCGCCGCCGCCGCATCACCCAGGGCTGCAGCACCCTATGTCGCCTGCGCAACATCCCTATCACCCATATGCCAACCGAGATACCGTCATAAAGCGAGAGCCTACCGAGGATCTGCGGAGGCCCAACTCGACGGGCCATGCGCCAGAGTCGCTCCCACCGCCGCCGCAGGTCATGTCAGCACCACCCCATCCTCAGCAACAGCACGCTCAGCAACCGCATCCTCAACAACACCCGCAGCAACACCCCCAGCAGCAGCAGCAGCAGCAGCAGTCACAACCGCAGTCGCTACCGCAACACCACCAACAGCAACAACAGCAGCAACAGTCACAGCAGCAGCAACCGCAGCCGCAGTCGCATCCTCCGCCACCTCCCTTCCAAGATAACCCTCCGCCGCGACACATGAACTACGAGAATGGGCCGTCGATGCCCCCAACTCCCGGGGCATATCGCGCCCCCAGCTTCCCTCCTCCGCCCACGCCCGTTGCGCATCAGTCTTCCTACGAGCAGACCCCCAGCTACCAAGCCTCAGAGCCCTTCTACAGCGTTTACTCTACCGTATCGAAAAAGAAGAACACGAGAGCTTCACAGGTCTGACTTGGCCACACCCTCTTACCACATGTCGCGTATGTACGGGACGCTGAGACTGACTTTTTCTCCCCAGGCATGCGATCAGTGTCGACAGCTCAAAGCCAAGTGCGACGAGACGAAACCGTGTAAGACGTGTAGAGATAAGGGGACAGAGTGCAGATATCGTGACCCTGTGCCGAAAGCGTAAGTGGCATCTATTGTTTCCTGGATGATATGGACAGACAGGGAACGGACAGCTGACGTAGGTTGGGGGATCAGGACCGACAAGGCCCAGGCCGACATTCTGGATGGCATCACCAGCATGCAGAACACGCTTGCCGCCCTTGCGGATCGCTTTGGACACATGGATGACAGGTTGACCAAGATGGAAGCAGTATTTTCAAAGACGCCGGGCTTATTTCAGGTTAAGCGAAGTCCTAGTCAAGAGGCGGAGCTGAAGCCCATGTCAGTGCCCATCCCGGGCTCGCCGCGTCCGCAGGATGAGTTCATGGTGGACCGATCTCCTGTGGAGGACATGTCCCGGGATCAGCCGGTGCTGTCGACTGAGGCGGTGCCCGCAGATGCGGCGCCTGAGCCCACAGCCACCACTTTCATGGCTGAGGACGAGATAGAGGCCGAACCGGGGCCACCTGTGCCGCCTGGCGAACCTGCAATCCCCATTAACCATACGACTCTGGCTGGGCTTCTCCTCGACTGGGACCCCATCAAAGAGCTAACGCGGCATCACCTGGAGCGCGAAGGCATCAAGTTCATCAGCGAGTATCCCATCAGCCAGGAGCAAAATCGCGGAATCTTGAAGGTGTATGGGCGGGGCGAGGATGCGCACTTTCGAGTGTCTAGAGAGGCAACGGCTGATCACGGAAACGTTGACATTGGCGACGACAACATGTCGGATATTGTGTCCTCCTCTCCCGCTGCGGACTGGGGACAGCTTGGCGGCCTGAGTCCGGGCGACCAGATTGAGTACCGAGGCGGCGTCCTTGGCTCCGACGGGAATCCGGACTTCACAGAGTCCAAGATCGCGACCTACGTGGAGAGCTTCAAGAACAATATTCTCAACATGCACCCCATCATTCAGCCAAAGGTGCTTGATGAGTGGGTCCATCAGTTCTTGAACGATCTTCCCACTGTTCAGCCTAAGCCGAAGCCGCAGCCTTTGAAGTCGGCTTTCGCCGTGTCAACGCCTCTCGAGGTCACGGGCGCGAAGAGAAAGAGGACGCCTGAGACGGATGGGCCCTCGACACCGGGTCCCGTTCGTGTCGGGAAGCCGAGCCGCTCCATCCACAGCGCGCTTGTTCTCGTCATCATCGCGCTCGGCAAGGTCTGCCTGCACCAGGATGAAGTGCCCGATGTCGTTTTCCCCGTGGACCCGATCCCTCACGGAAGCCCAGTCAGTCGCAACGGCGTGCCCCCATCGCCAACGCAGGGCTCGCCTCCGGGATTTTCCGCCCACTCACAGTCCTCTGGCTTCCCCTCGCCCAGGGATCAAGAGCGCGGCTATCAGAGCAGGAGGTCATCCATCCACGGCGCAAGCGGTCCTGTTCGCTCAGGACTGGGCTTGAAAAAGAACTATGAGGTCATCCCCGGCTTGGAATACTTTGCGCTGGCAACGGATATTCTTGGCAACCATACGGGCGCGTACCATAACATGAAGAATGTCTACGCCAACATTTTCGCCGGTCTGTACCACGGCCAGCTTGCACGCCCGTTGGAGAGCTTTGCATTTATCCACAAAGCAAGCCACAAGTTGCAAGTCATTATGAGACCGTGAGTTTTCTTCGCCTGTAATCATCATAGGAGATTCGTCGATTGCTGATATGTGCTTGACAGGAGCTTGGACAAGCTACGGAAGATCAAGACCAACATGGAGTTTATTCGTGAGACAAAGTACAACCAGCTGGCACTTGCCTTCTGGACGTGTCTGCAGCTAGAGAGGTATGGACGACTTGTCGAGATGTGTCCCTGCTGCAGGTTTTGGTACTAATTTGTCACAGTGACTTGATTGCTGAGCTTCCGCTACCCCCGTCTGGTCTCTTACAGTACGAGAATGACATGCCCCAGCCCAACATGAGTCTCCTCGAGGGGTTCGACCAACGAGTCGTGGACAGCTATCCGGCGCAGCTGTACCTCCGGACGCACTTGAACAGCATCCATCGCATGTTTTACTCTCCCGACGACCCCAGCAAGCCGGAGAAGCTCAAGAACGTGAGGCTAGTGGCCGACGGCGTCTCGACCATGCGCTGGGTCCCGGCCAGCTTCCGCTTTAACGAGACGGACCCCCCTGCAACCGACATCTTGTCGGCGCGCCTGAGGGCCAAGTACTGGGGAGCGCAGATGATTACCTACCGGCCATTTGTCCGGCAAATCCTCCAATGGTCCTTTGAGGTGAAACGCCACCCCTCCAGCCCCCATGTCCCCATCATGTCGGAGTACCGCGATGGCATCATTGCACCTTATATCCGCCCGGATACCAAGACGCCGAGCCAACTGGACCCTGGCATCATTGAGCTGGCTCGAAAGGGTATTGTGGCCCTGATTGAAAGCACGAAATCGTTCCATGGCCTTGGGGAGAAGCGACCCATCATCACCAACGTCTTTGGCACGGCGCATGCGTAAGTTTTTTGCCTTCTGTCCGTGGAAATGAGTCCTGTTCGAATTGCTAACGTCGCTGGCGCAGTCAATGGGGCAATCTTTTGGTTCTTTCGGCAGCTTTCAAAGACCCTGTCTTGCACAAGTTTGTAAACGAGGACCTTTTACGCAACTTGTTTCACAAGACGATTGCATTCCTGCGGCAGTCCGCGACGCATACGAGTTCTCTGAGAATTGACATGCACATCCTGGAGGGACTTCAACGGGACCTGTTTCCAATGGACGGAAGGACGGCCTCGAGCTTCTCCAGCAACCTGAGCCACCATACTCCCAAAATCCCAATCGCTGCACCACCCTATCCGACCAGCGATCCTAATACTGCGCAGCCGATGCCGCCACAGCCACCTCCGCCGCACATCGGACTGCCTCCAGGACCTTGAGTTTCCACTTCTCTTGTCTTCTGTTTCTTTATGGACCACACGAGTCATATCATCTTGAATATTTCCTCTTATTCTCTTGGCCAAGTGCGGCGGCATAACTCTGTTACTTTTAGTACCTGCGTTTCTTTGACCATTTTGGCGTAATCTGGGGACCGTCATGTTTGTCTCTTTTTACAACTATCTACATGAACTTGAACGGTGAAGCATTTGGTGGACAATATACAAAGACGTTTGAATGGCGGTTGGCTCAGCGATATGCCGGCATCACGATTGACGGCGCAGCGCAGGGCGCGACGATTTTGCATCGTACTGCGATTTTGACTCGTATTCACAGTTGGATATATCATATACACGCAAGGCATAGACCAATAACGGGTCTTCGGACCATCTTCTTTCTTCCTCCTATTTTTGTTTCTCTTCTTGTTTAAGGCAGAACGATCCTCAAGCTACGTTGCAAAGCCATGTCTTGGAGGTGTATCGGTGCTACCTCTTCTCATACACTGTATCACATACAATGTTCCGCATCTGGCGCTGTCGGAAAGCTAATGCTCTTTTTTCTTTTTTTTTCCCACTTTGCTTTGCTTGCGCGAGAATTATTACTACATCTGGGGTGGATATCGGAGGAGATACCATTATGTATGCTGGCGGGCAGGCTACTTCTTACGCGCGCATCTGCCGCTTTGAAGGAAGGCCGACGTCGACTAGGGGGGGAGGGAAAAAAAGGACGGGAGGGACTTGGATAAGGCTTGGGGTGGATTGGACAGGGCATGGGGGGTGGATGGAGGAGGATTATTTGCATGTTGCGTAGCATTTTGATTTCCGGTAGAACTACAAGTAATAGTCTGTACTTGGTTTTAGATTTGAAGAATGAAGACTGATAGGGCAGCTTGGGTGGACTGATACCGTCTATTCTGGTGTGTTGTTGTCTCTTGATGAAGAGGAAGACGATATTGTTGGAAGTGGCATCGCGGTGGGTGAGATGATCTACGGATTCGAGTTGACCTACATCACTGGCAGGCAATTGACACTGCTGATTTGCTTGTAGCTACTTAGAGGCTCAACGTTGTACGATGTAGTACCTATACTCGGCACATTGTGTATGACATGCCCGGAGCTGACGCGGGTAGTGGCAGCAGTTTGAGGTTGTTACTCCGTGGCCACAAGGTAGTACCGCATGTAAGTTTGGCAGGCAAGGCACGCCTGCCAAGCTGAGACCTGGACTTCGGCATCAGCGATCCGAGCCTTCCAGGGCCGATCAGCGTCATGTGCTGGGGGTGTTGTTTTGGGGGAAGAAGGTGGTTGGACGATTGATTGATTGGCTGATGGTGATGATGATGCCTGGATATCCATCTCGGACTCAGGCCGTGCTGGGGGGCAAGGGGGATCGTGGAGGCGGGTCTGGAAGGGCTGGGGGTTTGCGGTGGGGTTGGCTTTTCTTGTATGTCTGGCTGTTTTGTTATACACTTCTGTTTGTCCCGGTGTCATGTTAGATACATGTGTTGCGCGGGAGTGCAGTACTGGACTTTCTGATGCCCAGTCTACAACTCATAAGCTACGGTGACTGACTTGCAACAAGGAACTTGACCGATAGATTGCAGGGAAAAAAGCTGGGCTCTTTGCTCTGGGCGTAAGCAACAAATTCGGGAGTTTCCACAATAAAACGGCTTCGGCTTCGGCTTGATGTTGGGTTCATCCCGCCTCTTTTCTTTGCGGGAGACTAGGGGATGGCCGAGTGGCCTTTGATAGATGCAAGGTTGCCAGCAAGCAATACTAGTACATCGCTCTCCTCCGTTCAAAGCAAGGTAAGGGTAAGTTGAGTGTGTCCCAACAATGGGACTACGGCTAGCCAGCCCAGCCCAGCCAGACAGCGGGATGCGGGCAATTTCCTTCCCCCCCCCCCCCCCCCCCTTGCTTTCCCGTTGAAGATGGCAGACGTTGGGAAAAGGCGGGATGACAGGGACGGGGGGTTGTATGTATGTAGGTATCGGACTACTACCACCACCACTACTACTACTACATACACATGTACGATTAATCTTGATAAGAGAAAGGAGTGGCAATGAGACGTAAGAGACCGGAGAGCCCCCTCCCCTCCCCCCCTGGAATATGGCTGCCTTGAGGGTTGTGTTGCTTGATGGGGGAGCAGGTGACGCGATTGCAGGACTGATAAGGAAAATCCATGCCTCGAAAATATCTGGGACTTGTTCGGGGTACGGCAGCGGCAGCGGTATGGAGAAATGCTACGGTAGCAGTACAGGTTATTGCTATGTGGCCAAGGCAGCTTACTTGGGGCCGATTGGGGGGGAGCGGGGATCAGGGATCGCATAGACATCTCAAGAGCGGCGAAGAGAGAGAGAGAGACAGAGACGGAGTGGACTCCGTGGCAGTTTGCCAGGAGGGGTCTTGACCCGACCGACTGGACATGGACATGGGACAGGGGGGTTTTTTGGAACATGGAGAGAGGCCGTGGTAGGGGGGGAGAGCGGCAAAGAGGAGAGGGGAGTGAGAGATTTGGGGACAAGGGTTTGCTGTTGTTTGGGAGGTTGGGGTATGTTGCCAGTATCGTGGGATGGATGGAGATGTGCGTGTGAGTGCAAGTTGACGGTGTTCTTGTAGTATCTATCTACTTATTTACAGCATAGATTTCTCTATGCTTATCCCTTTGATTTAATGTCCCCCATCTGCGTGACACAAATCAGGTCATGTGCAAACTCGCAAGTTGTCAACGAGCAGGGGGCATTGCACAAATGGATCCTACGCGGTATCAATGCTGAAGGGATGAATGGGTGAATGGGTGAATGGCAACAAACACCATATGCCGAGTACCAGCCCCCCTCCCCAGATGCCGAACAGAGGTTGCAAGGGGAAGAGCAAAAGGTAGCATCGAGGGAGTCGCATCCTTCTGATGGGCAAGACGCAGAGCCGGGGCGCAGGGGTCCAAGACTCTTCTGGCAATGGAGTAGTCTCGATACACCTTGATTTGATACAAATTTTGGTAATGGGAGATGACGACAAGTTTCTCCGTTGATCTATTTCGGGTGTTCATGCATGGCTTGGCTGGAGGGCGAAAAGAAAAAAACAAGACGGTTGTCTACAAGGAAGACAAGGGTATTGACAGCGGCTTTGGGGCGTCAGGTCTGAAGATCGACCATGTTGGGCTCAACTCGACGGCTGGGTTTCAGCCACCCGCCGTCATGTGGTTGCGGCTTGCTCATGTGAGGGCCGAAGGATGCATATATGCGCACACGCGGTGTAAGGTTACAATTTGAGTGTACGCTTAGTGTTGAAGGGGGGAAGGGGAGAGGATGAGGGAGAGATGGGACAGAAACGTCAATTGTTGTGGTTTGTTTGTGTAACCAATGAAAGCTGTATGAATCATCAAGTAGAGGAGAAAAGAAGAAGACGATGAAGCATTCAACGAGGACAAGGATTGCGCTGAGCTCGGGGGGGGGTCAGTTTTGAATATCACCTTCCGGTATGTTGCTATGAATTGCTTGATACGCCTGGAGAAGACAAAGGAGGTGTAGTTGCTGGGATTTGGTTCACTAACGAGGACTGACCGAATGTATTGGCAGGGTGTGTGATTGGTCTTGATCCGGGTATTGGAAGAGTCTTGGCCTGCGTGTAAGTGAGGCTTTGGACTTGTTGGGTGTGGTTGAAGACCTGATTGAGGAACTTGGCCGCTGCACTTCTGTTGCCTAGAGCCTGGATGATGATACTGCATGGATGCTGCAAGTACGAGTACTGTAATCTCGGTATCGAATATGGCTTATTGGGTGATATTTCTCTTCCTGTCTGACAATTGTCGTCGTCCCCGGTGGGTTGAATCCGCTCTGCTTTCGTCTGTTGCATGGAGGATGCCATACAACCAAGTCCAGACGGCACAAACGGCTTCGCTTAAGGGAACAAGATCAAGAGACGACTCTTACGCCGAAAAAGCAGTAGCTGAAACTAGGTACACATCAACCCCATGAATGACGATTCTTCAGCTCGGCAATAGAGGGAACAGCTCGGCACCCCCCGGCAACTGCTGATCCCGCTCAACAACCGAATCACACCCAGCATCGCGGTCAAGCAAGGGGGTTCCCCCCCCCCCCCCCCCCCCCAAACCCCAAACCCCCCCCCCCCGCCGGCCAAAAAGGGGGGCCCCCCCCCCCCCCCCCCAGAAATCCCGAGATTATCTGCTTCATCTGATACTCCTAGTACTACTACCGCACTCAGCCATCGGTCAATAGTCCAGGCAAGGCAAAAGGGAAAAAGAAAAAGTGAAAAGTGACAGCGAGTCCCGTCAAGTTTTGGGACGAGTGCCAGATGAATCAAATCCGATGCTACATACCTCGATGCGATGCCCTATTGAGGAGGTATCACCGAATAAAAAGCCAACCTGTTTTTTTCTCTTTTGCCGCGCAACTTTTACTCATAACGGTCAGCACCGATGAGGTCAATAGAGGTTGTTGGATTCGGAGTAGTAGTAGGCTGCTGCTTTGCGTTGCTACAAGGGTTCATTGGCAGCCACTTTCAAGGATCAAGATAGAGCAGTCCCTCCTTGGCACAACTGCCTGTCGTCGGCTTACACGGCCCAAAGACTTGTTCCATACAGTTTTGAAAACCGGCCTTCACCATGATCCCGGTTTGAAAAGAGGCACGTTAGTCGCCGTTTAGCGCGCGGACCGAATCGCCCAGGAAGCTGGGGAATGCCTTTTCAATAATCAGCAAAAGTCGTACGAGTTCAAGAACCCCCTGGATGCGATACGACGTGAACTCGGCAAGAAACCGCCGTTATTACAGCTCTCAGCAATAAACAGCCGCGAAGCGCGATAACCCTTCTCTCTCTCTCGCTTTCGTACAAAGCTGCTTCGCCTAGTAAAGGCGGCCCCTGCTAATTCGGAACGGGGGACTTTGTTTTTTCTTCTTCATTTCTCTATGTGTTGTCTGTTGCGGATTTGGTAACCCTTGTTGTAGTATCGAGCTTGCATATACGCGCGGCAACTTGCACGGCACAAGCAAAGAAGAGACGGGCCTGTGGTTCGTTTTGGCCATCGAATCTTATCATCGTATATCTCTATATAGTAGCACATGCTAAGTTGTCTTCGTAAGTATCCGATATTCTCTTTGTTCTGTACATGCCTACAGTGTAGCTGAAACGATCCCCAGAGTGGCGTTTCTAAGAAAAGAAACAAGCCAGACCGTGGGTCAATCCCAGTGACATCCTCCGGGCAAGGACCTTTATGCCTCATTGCTGCAGGGAGCGGACTGCCGAGCAGTGATTTCAGCCTTTGACCAGTTTGTAACGGTGTACCGGGTGCTACTACTTTGTATTATCGAAAGATCTGGGACGGGTCGGGGGGGAGTAGCCGGAGTTGGCTCTGTGCTGGCATCAGATGCGAGGTACTGTATGATGGTAAGGATGCGGAACTTGATCCCCTGCTGTGCGACGGAGCTGGTTCCGGGCATCTCGGTTCATGGGTCGGCCGCTGCCGGTCTTGACTTGCTTTTGACGGCTAGGGTTCCTGAGATGAACTATGAGCAGCGAGTCATACCGCTTTGCAGGGGTGATTCCGTGTAACTATCGGCCTCTATGGAAAGTTGTGTAAGTGAAAGAGTTATAGTTGACAATTGCAGAGAGACAATCCTTTGGAGCAGAATCCCGTGAAACTGGCATGCCAATCTCAACCAAGTCACTGTTGAAAGCCGAAGAATAATTCACATACACATGTATCCGTATAAGTCGGATTACCCACCAAGTGGCCATTTCCTTTACCCAGAAGGTGGCCATTATGGTGGCCACTTGGGATAAAAGGAGGAGTCTCTCGAGTAATATCAGGGTTCGAGCCCGCAGTTCCTCACAACATGCGGTCGAAACTGGGATTACTGCCCTGGCGCTGCATCCAGCGGATGATCGGTTCGGTTCGGGCCTCTTTCTTTTTTTGTTCTATGGAGTCATGTGGAGAGTGAAGCGGCCTCCATGGACAAGGTTGATCAAAACTTGTATTAACACATCATCTGCAAAGAAAGGGAAGTTGTAGTTTGTACCTCTTGTACATGAAAGGCCATAGGTCAGGGGAGAGACTGTTGACTCGAAGCTTGAAGCCATATTGGGATGATCCAAGACATACTTGTACATGCACGTACTCTGTACACAGTCTACTAGTACTATACAGAATACGGGGCATTGCTACTTTAACGTAGCATGTTACCAAAGAGACGGTATGACATGGTTTCACATCTTTCCGTCCTGTCTTGCCTTGTCTCGTAAATGCCGTGTCTCTGCTAGGGCCGTATGCAAGGGGCTTCTACGACATATCCAAGTACTAGCATAGTAGTACCTGTATCGCAAGAACCAGATCTAGGGGGCGTATCCGTATAATCCAAGATATCTATCTACAGCGATAAAGACAAGTATCGAGCCAAGAAAACCAAAATACTACATCATCAAACCACGGAACTTCACGATACCTTCTCTCCCTCCCACCCAACACCCGACACCGACTCCATAACCCTTCGGAGATTCACTTCCCTCTCCACGGGTAAATCTGCTTCCTTCAACAATGATGGACATGGGTCCAACATCAGCCTAAGCCCCCCTGGAGGCAAGTTTTCCGTGGAACTACTACAGCTACTTGGCGGAAGTACATGCTGCAAAGCAGGGCAGCTGGCAGCAAGCCCTTGCCAAGAAAGATGAAACCCCAACGTTGACAGTGACAGGTGAATGCCGGTTTCCGACGGCAGATGGGGTTTATGTGGCTTTTGTGTGTGACTTACCTGCGTGTGTAAGACGCTGGAAGGGGGGCAGCTCGCGGCGGAGGTTACTTGTCTAGGTTGTACGGCATTTTGGTGTAGAGCTGTTTGGGTATTCCTTTTAGGTATGTTATACGGACACTGGTGACGGGTGTAGATTTGGCACCGAATTGGAGAGAGATGAGGTTGTTGAATGGTTGTTGAGGCGAAGGAGGCGAATATTTGCAAGTGCAAACCATGAGTAACGCAAGTCTACAGATAGCAGAATGCGGAGTGAAGTGCAGGCCTGTGCGAGAGAACTACTAGTTAGTATCAAAGACACTTCAATAGTGGCCAGGTTGCTGGATATCAAGTGTTGAAAGGGCGTTACTCTTTGGTGAGATGCTATTGGACAATGATGTAGAGACAGGAGGAGCACAGGCAAGCTCTGTCAATCAGTCAATTTCACAATATGCTGTATCTACAAAGTCTCAACCAAGTATTCAGCAATTATTCCCATATCTCAGATCACAGATCACACCTCGCATCAAAGCCTGCCTTTCATATCCTTTCTCGAACCTCTTTCTCGAACCTCTCACAGGTCCCTTCACAGACTAAAGGAGCAACAACTCCCTCTACGCCCACTCCGCGCGGAACTTCTCATCAAACTCATCCCTCAGCCGAATAAATGCCTGTAGCACTCTGTAAAGGCCCTTCCCCCTTGTATGTCCACCGAGGGACGCATAGTCGGTGCCATCCAAGCCATCAACACTGGTAGGAGAAGTCGTTGCCTCGTCAGAACTGCCATCGCTGGATCCACTATTCGTAGTCTCCGTCTTGCTGCGGAACTCGCCCTCATACTCTTCACATTCCTCTTCCGCGTCTCCATCACGGGCATCCATTAGAACCGTGAGACTGCTGATGATGGTGCTCAGGGTGCGGGAGAAGTCCTTGAGATGGAACCATACCTCGCCGCGCCGAATGCCATTGTCCCTTACCAGGACGGTCATGCTGCCGTGCTTGTAAAAGTCGTAGATGTATGCGTTGAACTCCTGGCTGGTATCGTGTGGCCAGATTGGTATCGCTGGGATGGCCGATTCTTCCAAGAAGACGTCTCCACGCACCGTCTGGCACAGCTCGTGGATTGTCTTGAAGTTGTCCGTGAATCCAGAGAGAGCAACAAAAGGAGATCGCACCATGCCCGCAGCGCTAGAGTCAGCAGACGCCCAATGAACCGGCTCATCCTGGCCAACTTTTGTTTGGGTAAACGGCAGGATCCGATCTCTAGTATTGGTCAAGCTATGGCTGACATACGATTTCACGTAGTTCTTGAAGATGGAAAGAGTCTCCTGGTTGTGTTGGATGAGCAGGCATTCGGCTTCCTTAGGTAGCCGTGGAAGAAAGATGACAGACGACGACGTTCTGGCTACCTCAACAGTCTTCTTGGTGCGCTTGACGGGACGCCGGCAGAAGAGATGGGAGAGCACCAGCATCATTTCCAGCAAGACTTTCTCCGGGTTCGTGTGCAAATCTGCGCAGAGGCGGTGGAAGTAACCGCCTCTAAGCAGTGAATGAAAGGCAAACACCGCGTTTTCCATGAAATAGAGGTGGCCTACAATGCTGGCAAAGTTGATGGGAACGCCAGCAGCGGAAAGCAAGTCCTGTCTCCGAAGGTATTCGATCGAAAACCGGACGTGGTGCTTGATGGACATCTCCGACTCCGGTCCTCCCAAGTAGAGGCGCGTCTGGGATAACAGCGACCGCACCATGTTCGCTGCAAAGTCGCAGTTGTCGGACCCGTGAAGTAGCGAAAACAGCCTCAGGACAAGCGTCGTGGATATGGGGAACTGGCCATTGAGGCCCGGTAGCCGTGCCGACATGATATCATACACGCGCTTCCGTGAGATCTGGTTGAACACAATGTTCCCTAGAAGATCGAAGCCTCGACGCCCGGCACGGCCCGACGCCTGTCTGAAGTTTTGGGCTGTAAGGAATACTGAGCTGCCATGGAAGACGACCGTCTTGCAGGGCATGTTGATGCCCAGGGCTAACGTGCCAGTGGCAACGACAACCCTCAGATACCCTCTGCGGAACAAGACTTCGACCCTGCGTACATACATTGACCAGTCAGATATGTCATTGGCAACTTCGTCAGATGGTACTCACGCTTGACGATATTCGCGATTCAGACTGGAGTGGTGCACGCCGAGACCGCGTCGAAGAGCCTCCGTCATCCAAGGGCTAACTTTGCCTTGAAGGGGTTGAACTATGCCGTCTACCTCAGAGGCTTGCATCTTGGTTGCATCTGCAAAGCTGAACCGTTCCAATGGATCGTTTGGGTCGAAGCTCTCCCAATGACTGGTCTCGACGCTCGCCTCCTGGCGCAACTGCTCGTCCTTGGACATCCTTTCGTCGTCTCTGTTTTTGCCTCTGTTTTGCAGCCGCACTGTGAGTGTTCGCGGAAAGCTCATAGCCTTCTTCCACGCTGCAAAGTCCTCCAACTTCTGGGCCCATTCGATTGAGCTATCTTTCCACTTGTCCTCTGCTTCTATGAGGCTGGCCCATATCCCGTTCACAATCTGCTCACAACCATGAGTGTCATAGTGGAAAACCAGAGCAGGTAGGGCGTCATGGCTATGTAAATCGACGACTAGATGGAATATGTTGTTCTTGCCATGAAGCGACGCAGAATCTGAAACACCTTCAATCGAGCGCATCTCCAGCTGCTTTCTGATATCCTGGAACACTTTGTCTGAGCTCTCCATGATGCGTCGAAGAGCTTGTTTAAGATCTGCCTCCCATCGAATGACGTCTGCTTTTGAAATGATCTCCGGCAGAGCGGAGGAGGGATTCGGAATACCGAATTTGGCAAAGTCTTCCTTGGAGAGGACCTGTTTCATTGTTTTCCACAGACTCAGACAGTCTCTCGCCTCCAAAGATAGATCATCAAGCGCTGTGCGAGCCCTACAGGATTGTTAGTCCATGCCGTCAGTTCCATATAATGGGTGTTTTACACACCTGTCAGTTAGAGCGGCAACGGGGTGAATGAATTCAAACTCGGGGCACGCTCTGTCACCTTCGTCCAAGCCAGGAACGGGAAGCGCCTTGATACGACGAAGTCCCTGAAATGGTTCACGCTCATGTGGTATGTAGATGAACTTTCGTAGATCAGAGTACCGAGTTGTGTGCACCACTGTGTCTAGCTTAAGCCCTTTGCTTCTCTGGACCTGTGAGAGCCATTCCTGAAAGGGGCCCGGATTCCCAATGGTCGCCGAGAGGGCAATGACAGGACACGGAGCCGATAGAAGCAACTGTTCCCAGATAACGCCATCGTCGTCTTGGCCAATGCAGTGAACTTCGTCGAATATGATTCTCTTGATACGCCTGGACCAGGCATTGGGGCCTTTGGCATTTGTCGGCGCAAGCAAGAGGATCTGCAGTATATGCGGGACTGTGACCAAGACTTGACATCCAGTTGGGCTCTGAATTCTGTAGTCGCGAGTATATATCGCCCAGACAGATTTGCCGTCTTGTTTGTATCTTTTGGTAAAGCGCGCTGCAACTTCAGCGGCAATCTGGTTGACCAAGGCCTTGGTCGGAGCGACGTACACCAAAACACCGTCGTCGCTGTCCTCAAGCACTTTCTTCATGGCATAGAATGAGATGAATGTCTTGCCCGCAGAAGTCGGGGCTATGACTAGCAGGCTGTTGTTGGCATCGATGGAATTGAGCACTTTGATTTGCCATGCGTCTGGGTTGAAGGGCACCCGCTGATCCGGCTGGGAGTCGAAGCGTCGATCCATGTAAGGGGCAGCAAACTCAAGCTGCAGGTGCTGGAAGTCGGTCATGGTCTTTGCAATGTCCTTGAGAGAGTCATAGTCGAAGTTGAATGATAATCTCTGTGTCTGACTCCCAGTGGTAATAGAAAGACCTGGAATCTCGAGGCATTGTGTCAGTTTTTGAACTGCCTGGGCCACGGCCTTAGTTGCCCCAATCGCTGGAAATTCCTGAAGCCATCTCCAGATGAGAGCAACGAGGTACGATCCTGGGAGACTAAAGTCAGCATGAAATTTCCGGGGGAGTTAAAGCCATCACGATGTTCTCTTACCGGCTTCTGCCTTGGTACCTGTTCGCGCCTTTGCCCACAGCTTTCCAAGAAGATGGCACAGGTAAAGATGGACTTCTGATCCCAAAGCAACATGGTCGACTTTAGAGCGATCGTTCAGAAACTTGAGGGCTTTGAGATAGCGGGCCAAGAGAGAATGTTCTTTCTCGATTTCTCGGCAAGTATTGGCCCATAGCGCGACTATGCTATCCCGCTTGACTGATGCTTTTCGCTCCTGGATCTCCTGCGCAGCTCTCAGTGCGCTCTCCCTGCCACCAGGCTTATTGGCATGGCGCCCTGGCTTTTTGGACTTGGGCTGAGGCTGGAGGCTCGTGCTGCTGTTGCAGCCCTCCGTCGGGGCCTTCTTGTTCCTCGGGGCAAGCGCCGCAGCCTTCTTCACGACGATGGACTCAGGCTCAATGAGCTTGCCTCTTGCGTTGGTGAGGCTCGCCGAGTACGCCACAATGTCGGCCACACGCTTTTGGATCCTCCGTCTCGCAAAGAATCCGAGTTTTTGTGTCTTTTGAGGTGGCAGTAACAGCTTGGTGTTATGCCAATGGTGAAGGTCCTCAAATACGGAGTGGAGGGAGGCGTCCTGCATTCCCTGACTCTCTTTTAGCTTGATATCTCTGAGGAAGACATCCAACACAGGGTGGCTGAATGGCAAAGCCGACACTTGCAAACTATCCACGCCGTCCGAATTCGTCTCATTCACCAGCCTCGTTAGCTTAGGAAGGTCCTCGGGAAACCGTCCATTTGTTGCTGCGTGAAAAATTGACCAAAGATGCTGCCATGATTGGATGATTCGGTCAGGAAGCCACTGACAGGAGCGAAGAGAGCCCAGTGTATAATGGAACAAAGACCCATCAATAGCATCAAACAAATCCCAAGTACATTCGGCGGTACTTATGTCTGCTGTCCACTCGTCTTTCTCCACCAACATCAACGATACTTCGGTGATGCCACGCAAGAAATTGCGATCCTCAAGAGCTGGGATGGAACGATGGAGACCGACCCAATGCTGACGCTCAAGCAGGGTACAGTGCCTGAGAACTGCAAGATGAAGGAGGAATGCATGGACATGCTCTTGTAAATGATCTGAATCCTTGAAGGGCTGCTCTGATGAGTTGGCCAGAGCTAGACAGGCGGTAATGCCCAAGAGTTCTCGAACTGTCAGATCCTGAGGCTCGGTGTCTATGGGCTGGAGACACTTATTCATTCCATCATAGAGCGAAGTGTATGGAGAATCAAACTCCATTCCGATGGGAAACGGCTGCATGTTTCCAGGTAATTTGCTCAGCAAAGGTGCGTATGCCTATAGAAGCGATTCACTGTTAGCTTGATACTCGCACACAAGAGAGGCGGTATCTTGTGAAGTTACCTTTGAGCTCTTCCATTCAAGAGCATTGATGATAGCTACATTCTTGCCACGCCATAGCAAAGAGCGGATAAGATTCCGCAAAATGATGGTGTCTTTGACATCTTCTGATTCGACACCATCATGACATAGAACAAAGTGGGTGGGCAAGCCCTCGAGGTACTCGTGGAACCCCTGGCTCTCGACAGAGTCAAACTCCAGGACGGATGCTCTCGCACCGTTCCTCGCGCACTCCTCAGCATGTCTCTGTAGATGCTTGATGATGACGGTTCTTGCGTATTGGTATTTATACTCAAAGCCGGAGAGATGAGGCACGCAAAGATCCCTCAGGTCTCGAAAGAAGACAATGTCAAAGTCGCAGCCTCTCTTCTGCAGGTTGCTGAGGAACCTTTCAACGACGTACACAGCATGGAGCAGCTGGAAGCCATCTACATGCTGCTGTCAGCCAAGTCTTCTCCGCGTCGATGGGGACCGAAGAAGGGCACTTCTATTTACCTTGAAAGTCGGGAGGAGATTCCTCAAGGCAGTGTCGGATCAGCGACTCTCCGTGAACGAGAAAGGGTTCCTTGCCGGCGATGTCACCGATGAGGTCGACTCGAGGAGCCCATAGATTGGCGTACCAGGAGGAGGCAAGATCCTCCTGTTTTGCCTTTTTAGAGCCCATGACAGATATGACAAGACCAGGTCTATGACTCGGTATCAAAGTCGTTTGTAACTTCCGAAGGGGTCCAGAGAAATGGACGCAAGCGCGACGAGAAAGGGAAGAAGAAGGCGATAGATTGGCTCTGCACTCCTTGTCCAATGCCCATTTGATGGAAGTGGCGGTTATCAAACGTTGAAGAATCGACTCCCTGGCCAGCGTGGAATAAGCAAAAGCGTTTTATGATATAAATGGGAAAGATGAAATTGATGAAAATGAAGGCAAATGCAAGAGAAGTAATGTAGGGCTTTTGTAACCGACTGCAGTCACCGGCCGCGGGAGGCCTACAAGCAGCTGCCAACCAGCTGGCAGCAGCACATGTACTTCGTACCGTCCCATGCATACAACTCCAAGTCCCCTCCCTTCAGTCGAAATCCAATATGCAGCATCTCCAATAGCACGAACAAAATCGATTGGCTAGATACCAACATATGACATGTCATCGTCGGCGGGAGGCCGCGCACAATAGCCCTGAATGGTCCAAGATGGCATTCACCTACACCACTTCCGACTTTCATCAACGGCCAGCTTTGGGCATTCGTGCTTCTCTCAACTTGGCATCGAAGGAATCTCTCCGTGAGGGATGGAATATCTGAAACTTGATGTTACATGCAGATAATAGAAAAAGAACTCGGGTCATTCCGCTTCTAGCAACATGCATCTGACAATGTATATAGTTACACAAGGTGAAAGGCTTCACGTATCTGGAACAGCCTGAACGTGAACGTGTACCAGACCATTCACCATTGCAATGTTGTACAAGGCAAGACAGTAGCAATCGAATCTTTTTTTACATTCCATTATTGATCCATCTACAGTCGAATGTGCAGTCGAATAGACAGAGTACACAAGAAGAAACCCCCAAGTTTCTTTTACAAACGGGGAATCCAAAGCCATGAAAGATGCCGCCAAAACGCCAAACTATCCCAAATGCTCCCTACGTCCTTTTTCCCCCCTCCCCCTCTCTCTTCATGCAGGAAAAGAAAAACTCCCGTTTATACCGCGCTCATCATCAAGCTCTCCAGCATGCCTCCGCTCTGGCAGGCCAGCTGCGCCCTCTCAACCTCGACCTTGACCCTCCTGTGCAACGTCTTGAACCCCTGAAGCAGCTCCGCCGAAGCGCCCGCGTATTCCGAGTACAGGTCCAGCAGGTGAACGCCAACCTCCACGCAGACGCTCACGTACCGCGGGTCGCAGATGTGTCCGCACACCCACTTCAGGATCGGCTGCACGCTCTGCTCGTCGCGGTTCTCCAGCGCATCCCGCATGGCGCTGCGGTGACGAAGCGCCAGCAGCAAGGTGAGGACGTTGAGGGGTGCGTATTCGGGCGAGGTGCGGTCGATGACTTGGTCAAGGGCCTTGGCGTAGCGGGCGTGGCGGAGATCGGCTTGCCACGGTCTTTCCTTCTTCCTTGTGACGCGGCCTTCGTTCGCAATGACAACGTCGGCGCCTTCGCCGAGCATGTCGAGGCGCTTGGAGGCTTCGACGCGCCGCTTGCGCTTCTGCTTCTTGGCATCCAGAGAGTCGATGGTTCCGGCAACGAGGGCTTCCATCTCCTTTTCGCGCTCGCGCTGGCGCGTGGCTTCGGCGCCCGTCATACGTGTGCGGATGCTGAGGACACCAGACTGCATGCCGACGGCGAGATGGCGATCGTCGGCGCCAGAGGAGTCGCCTGACGGGATGACGCAGACAGAGAGAATGGGGGCTTGATATTTGAAGCTGTTGACGACGTTCCATCCGGTCGTCTCAAACATCTTGACGTGGCCTTCCAAGCTACCGGTGACAAGGCGGCGGCCGCCAGAGGCCAGGCTCATGGACGTGACTGTCTTTTGGTGATTGGTGATGAGATGTAGCGGTCGCGCGGCAACGAGGTCGAGTACGCTGACGGCGTTTCCGGCAGCGGCCAGGACGGTCGTCCCAGTGGGCAGAGGGAGCACGCTCTCGACGGGGGCGGCGTGCTTGAACGTCATGACGGCGGAACTGTTGCCCGTTCGCGGATCCCACAGCTTGACGGTCGAATCGTAACTTCCCGACACCACCATGTTGGCCATCGTGCCCGGCATGAAGCTTCCAGCCCTCACATAGTCCGTGTGGCCCACAAAAGTACTCGTCGGCTCGCTGCTGGGCAGATCCCACAACCTGACCGTCCTGTCGTCGCTCGTGCTCAGCACCGTGGTCAGCTCTACGGGCGAGAACTTGGTCGTCCACACGGGCTGCTTGTGATCGAGCCATGTCCTCAGGATAGCCCTAGAGTTCACGTCAAAGACTTGTATCCTCCCCGTGTCGTCTCCCGCCACCAGCACGCGGCCGTCCTTGCGAATCTCTCCGCTGCGCGCCACATCGGTAAAGCGGGTGATTGTCTTGAGCAGCTTGCGGCTGCGAATCGAGTAGATCTGCACGCGCGTGCCTGTCGTCACGGCAAAGGAATCGATGCTGCTTGACACGTGCGTCACAGGAAAATTGGTCGGCGACGGAATCAGGAGTTGGTTCTTGAAGGACTTCCAATATTTCTGCTCAGCCGTCAAGGGCGCGGGGCCAGACGCCAGCTTGACCCTCGGCAGGGGCGCCACTTGTGTCGCCATTGTGCTTCGTCGCTTCGCCTAATCGATGGTTAGCAGCAGCAGCAGCATTGAGGTGCTTTATTCTGGGATCGAGTGAGTGCTGACTTGGTGGTTCGGCTGTGTCTTTCTTCCCAAGGTTTGGCGATGTGACGATCCAAGCAGTCGTGCAGTGTGAGGTTGGCGGGCTAAGTTGGATATTTTTTTTCTGTTGGCGATAAGCAACAGCCGATAAGATCTAACCGCGGAAAATTCACCGCGAGGCGGCAGCACTATGCCGTACAAAGTTTAGCGTAGACTAGCGCAGACAATGGCAAGGAGAAATTCCGTCCCTGCATCATCGGCTTGTTATTTTTCGCACCTATTTGTATACGTCAGTGAAGGATAGCATCACGGCGACACACACCACAACATCATTCATACTGTTTGCATTCTTTTCTAGATCTACCGCTACGTCACGTCATATATCAAATGAAACCGTCCTTAACAGTTTTGGAAAAAAAAGGAAAAGGGGGGCACAAAAAGGGGAACAAAAGGAAAACAGGATACAGAAAGGCAACGAGGGGAAAAGAAAATCCTCATGGTCCCAAGCTTCCCAAAGACGCCGCCCATTATCCTTCCCAATCCCGCTTTATATATGCCTCTTTCGATATTCGTACAAGACAGAATTACACTGCATCATAAAAAGTTTCAGTAGCCGCCTCGGCGTCTGGAACGGCCGGTGCCAATATCAATCTTTTGCATCTCTTGAATGAGAGCCATGTCTTCCGCCCCTCCATTGGCGCCGCTCATAACGGGCAGTGGCACTTTGGCCGGGATCGGAGGGCCCTGGTTGGCGACGCTATACGCAGGTGCGTAGTTGTCGTTTGGGTGGTCCCACGCGCCAGCGCGTGATCGAGTCGAACTGTAATGATTCGTCCTATCGTGAAAATTGTCAGGCGCAATAGGCGCGGGAGGGTTGGGAACCGCAGTCGTAGGCGGCATGGAATGACGAGTCTTCTTCTGCAGACGCTGCCGCCCGCCTTGCACCGGGGGAGCACGGGGTCCCTCCGTGTAACCGTAGGCGGTGGACGGTACCATGGCCTGCGAGGTTCTCGCCATACTAATGCGGAGGGGTCTCCGGCCGCTGGGCGGCATCGGTTGTGCTCCGGACAACGGCGGCCTGGTTCGAGTCGGCGAAGCCTCTTGCGGTGGCTTGGTCTCTGGCTCGGGAGCCCAGGACTCTTCAGGTAGATGATCCGACGGGTCAATCTCTCGGCCATCGTGCGTGACAATCTTGGAAGGCGAATCTGACGGGTCGAGCCCGGGAGATCCATCCCTAGAAGACACACCGGGGTTGAAGGCGTCGTAGGAGTCTGGGCTGAAGGGAATGTCCGAGTGCCTCCTATTGTCAGAAACGCGAGGTGCAGGGCTGACCGACTTGCGTCGGATCCTATGTTGGGGGTTAGGGGAAGCATCGCGATATCCCTGCGGGTTAGGGGAAGCATCGCGATATCCCTGCGGGTTAGGGGAAGCATCTCGATATCCCTGCGCATGCGGGTCAGGCCCACTGGCATATGCACCCGATCTTCGCATGTCGTATGATTCGTATGGTTGCGGCGAAGCGCCGTAGGCCGGCTCGTGCGAAGGCGGTGGCGGTTCGCTCCTATGGCGGTCTCGAGCAGAGATGCTGCCGACTGGACTGCTTTGATAGTTGTATCGACCGTCATGGTGTCGTTCTTCGTATGGTCTGTTAGACAGCTCTTGAACTAGGTTGGGATCTACGCCCGGAGCCAAGGAGGGCGGCAATCCCGGAAGTCCGTAGCTCGGAGAGCTTTGAATGTATGTCGTTTCGTGCTCTCGCTGTTGGTTAGGGCGCTGGCTTTGGCCGCCATAGGAGTACTGCGTCATCTGCTCTGGACTCTCAGTGTAATCCCTGGACGACATAGGGGACACGGAGTTTTGGTTCCGGGGCTGTTCCTGATAAGGCGGATAGGGGCCCGGGGATTGGTTCATAAACCCCGGGGATACACCTCCCGGAGAGCGACTGAGACCTGTCGACACGGGGACAGAGCCGGCGTCGTACACCACCTCGTCCAGGGGAGGGATACTGCGACGGGGCCTGTTCCGCATGGAGCCTGGAGGCGATTCCGGCACATCCTCCACGGTGGGTTGCATGGAGCGATGCTGAGCGTCGTAGGCGTCGTAGGAATTGTGCGGCTCGTACGCAATGGCTTTCTGCATAGGCGGCTGTGCCGGCTCGTAGGCCCGAAACTGTGGGCGGCCGGGATAGTTCGATGTGGTGTTTCTATGAGCCTCGTTCTTCAGGACATCAGATCTCATTGAGGCGGGCGGGGTAACCCTCTGGGGCGACGGCTCGTCACTTCTCCGTTGCAAGCCCTCCTGGCTGGTGCTATGTCGTGATCGGTGAGCGGGTGGTGGAGGAGCGGCCTGTCGAGGGCCTCCCTGAGGAGGATACGGCGCGGGATCGTCTATCGGGGTCATCATGTCGTAGGTGTCGCCCGCGAGCGAGTAGCTGCTACCTCGGGGATCAAACTGCTCATAGGGCGAGACGGGTATCTTTTGGCTGTAGCGACTCTCTCTCTCGTGCGAGTCCTGTCGTGTCGGGCGTGGCTGGCGAGGCCCCTCGACACGGCCGGAACCAGCATGGCCCTGAGGGCCGGGTGAGTTTGCAGAAAAGTAGTCGGCATGGCGCGACCGAGTGCTTCCGTGTGGCGGGGTGCCATACTCGGTAGTTTCGTTGAGTGAGCTCGTAGAGTTGTATGGTGAGTGATGGACGGGCTTCCCGATATGCCGGGGCGGTGTCTGATGGTAGTCTGGTGGGGTTTGAGACGAGATGCTTGCAGTGACCTCACCGGTAACGGGGTCTGTCGGCAGAGGACGCCTTTTCACGATATCCTTGCGCTTGGGTGACGAGTTCTCCAGCTCGCCGCCCATGGATTGCCTAGATCTGGCCGCGGGCTTGTCGGGCTTGGGCCGGCTGTCGTAGAAGGTGATTTCGAGTCGGATTTCCCCCGCATACTTGCCTCGACAAGTGAGCGTCTGCCACACGTCATTCTGGCCGCCTCCGGGGATGATGATGCCCTTGAGATCGATCCACGACTCTCCGATGAGGTCCGTCTTCTTGTCATCTGTGAAGACGGAGACCTTGAGCTGATAGTAATCGGCCGAGTCGTGCACTGTGAACCGAAGCTCTTGGTCCCTGCACGAAACGAAAAAAAGCAAAGAACGGCACAGGTCAGTCGCTTGCTCTCACAGCTTGTCTCACCACCAATACTCAGGACTGAGATGATGCAAACAGAAACGGCTTACCATTTGGGCGTCTGGCCGCCTCGGACATCCGTGGCCGTCTTCTTGGCCTCCTTGCCCAGCCTGGCAGCGCAGTAGGGATCCTGCTTGCCGATGGTCTTGCGGTTGGGCAAGTTCTTTGCGCGGTCGACAATGGCCACGAGGGTGCCAATCACAGGGCCATCCACGGACATGTCGGCAAACAGGCCTGCGGTGTGCGGGCCGTTGATGGCAAATGATTTGGACGCCGTGGACAAGGCCATGGTTGGCTGGAACAGGCTCGCAAGAGCGTTGCCTCGGGCTTTTGAAGGGAGGAGATGGGAGACCTCCATTGATTCGGGCTGCTGGGATGCTGTTGCTTTTGTTTACATCGGCAGATCTCGAGGTATGGATGGTATGCTAGCGTCTGGCGATCAGCGGCTCGTCGTAATTGGACGCCACCATGAAGCTTTGCAGACGGGACAAAGGCTGTGCTGATGACGACGAATGAAACCTAATAATAGCCGCCGAGGGAGTCACTGAGATGACGAAAGTAGCCGTACGGCATCTGATGCCTACCTTATAGATAAGAGGTGGAAAGAGAACTGGGAGGAGAGGAGAGATTGGAGAGGAGAGGACGTGGAGGGTGTGGAGAGGTGAACCTTTTGAGCGTCCCGCACCAGACCCAAGGGAAGCACGGATCCTGCGACAGCTGCCATGCATCCGCCCTTCCAGGGAGCTCCCTCTGGGCCCCAGTGCCTTGTTCCAGCGGCCGTAGCGCTGTGGCGGGTGCTGAGCTGCAGTTTAGCGCACGGCCAGGCGCTGCAGCAGTGCTGTGCGTCCAAGTACAGGTACGAGGCTGGGGAGCGGGGAGGGGGAGGGACGGGAGCCGTGGAAACTCGGCGGATGGACGTTCTATTTCCAAGCAACGAACCTTGGAACGCGCTGCTCCGACGCATGCACCGGGAGGTACAGATACTTTGCAAACTTCCACTCTTTCCACGATCATCAAAGAACCTGGATTATCTACGATTCGCACCGACTCGCATCATCCGTCACAAAGGCGACCCTTGGCGGGTTTCAGGGCTGCAGATGCCTGCACCTTGTCCGTCCAATTGCTTGATACGGCGCACTGCAGCAACGCCGCCCGCCCTTCCAACCCGCGATCCCTTTGACGATGCCCTTTGGGTGGCTGGTTGTCCAAAACCCCCCCGAAAATCGAGGTGGCTGGAGCGGCTACGAGTGTGTGCTACTGCAAGGGCCACAGCGGGCATCTGCCCAGGCTGGAGCGCTGACTGGCCGTCGAGCCTCTCCAAGGTTGTTCTTCCAGCGGTCTAGTGGCCCGCGATCAATGCCCAAGTGCCTCAGCCCCGCCCGGGTCTCATCAAGCTGGGATCTTGCAATCCATCTTGCAGGGGGGCGGTGCCCTGTCAACGGAGAGCCTGTGTTGCTCAGCTGGGCTGCTTCCGTCATGTAAACAACATCTAGAGGGAGCTTGGAACAAAGGATTGGCTTCCAACGGTGCATGGCGATCGATCGGCTCCCTGCATTGCTGGAATGCACATGGCAACCGCTCTGCACCGTCTCAGCCGTTGCCCACGCGTTTCTGCAGCGACTCATTTAACGATAAGGCGTTTCCATGTGCTGCAGTTCCAGCTGAATGCAAGTTTGCTGCTCATGGATAGGACAGCCCAGAGACTAGACTACTAACGTGAACATAGGCATATCATATCTCGTCTCCAATGTACCCGCCGAAGATCCGGAACTTACAGGCATCCAACTTGAATTCTTGCATCACCGCTCTCTCTCTGTTCTTTCAACATCATTCATGTCTGCAGCCTTGCTCCATACCAACTGAATCGACAAAGCCAAGCAACATCATTGCCCCTTGCTTCCTCCCCCAAGCCCGGCAGCTGACGTCGCCCTACCAGCACCAGGTCGCCAAGGCGATCGAATCAGAAATCACAGCGCCCACGGCGTGTGGAATCGCTGCGGGCATCCTCTCCGAGTGCGCATCTCAGGAGGCGTCAGCAGCGGGTACCGACAGCCTCTTGGGGCTTGTTTGACTTGCACTTCTTTGTTTATTTCCTCCCTCAACCCCACACCCCTGCCATCTGTACTCCGTATTTGTGCCCAATATGGGCTTCCACGGTTGGCGCATCAGGATATAACTTTCGCGACCCAAACGGAGCGTCTCCGTGCGTGTGCTGCGCGACGACGATTCGCACTCGTAGGTAATAGACGGTGAGGTCCGTATCATATATGATGGGGGGCGGACGCGGAACTGGCGGTCACTGTTTCGCTTACACCAAATGCGATGGCTCGAAATCTTGTTTTGCGTTCTACAAGTGGGATCCCGCATTGCTCGACGATATATCGGTAAGAAGAGTGGTAGCGAGCAAAGTACGGAAAGGAGTCCAGCATTGCACATCTGCTACAGGAACATGAACACTCTCATGTTTGTCGTGTCGTATAATCCCATGGTCGACGAGAGTTCACTTTCATAGATCTTTAGCTAAATCCTTGTGTAGAAAGAGTATCTTCATTCAGCTCGTCTACCAGTCACAGCCCTTTGCCAAAAGGTCGGCGAGTTGCTCGAGGTGCTTCTTATCCGTCTCATCGAATCCGTTCAGCTCGGCGCAGTCGACGTCGATGATGGCGACGAGCTTGTCGCCCGACACAATGGGCACCACGATCTCGCTCTTGCTCTCGCTGTCGCACGCAATGTGGCCGGGAAACTTTTCCACGTCGTCGACGAGCTGCGTAGTCTTGGTGGCCGCAGCAGCACCGCACACGCCTCGGCCAAACGGGATTGTCTGGCAGGCCACTTTGCCCTGGAACGGTCCCAGAATGAGCTGGTCCTTGGCCGAGGGATCCAACACGTAGAAGCCTAAGTAGGCGGGAAGCAATAAGCATAAATCCTTTGGTTCTTTGTCTCAAGTTTGTTATTCCTTGCCGAAGCTGTTTTGTCACTTACCTGCCCAGTTCACTTGGTTGCTCGGAGCGGGAAGGGACTTGTAGGCATGCCACAGCAGCGAGGCCGCGTTGGAGAGATTGCTAGCCGCCTCGTGTCAACACAAAAGTCATGCTCGTATATCATTCTTTACCTCAGCTGCGAGGCTCGTATGAATATGGAGTCGATGTCCATCACCTACCAGACCTGGCATCACCACCGGAGGAGCCGCATGTTAGTTCTTGAGTCGTACAACACATTCGCCCGCCGACGCGGTGAAGAGGGGACAGAGGAAAGGAGATTGACGAACCCAGTTGCGCTGACCGTAAAACAGCCCTTCGGCCTGCAGCAGCACCTGCTCATAGGCATCATCCTTGGTGACGCCCTCGGCAAAGTTGGACGCATCGGCGTGGACCTGCAGCTTTCAGGTGAGCACAACAGCCAACCTTGGACTTTGTGACTAGTCTCCCTGGTGAACGAACCATGGCTCCTTTTTTTTCTCCCTCTTTGTTCCTTGTTGTTTCTCCTTTACCCCTGACGAGCAAAGAATGCGTCAGAACTTTCTTTGCTTCTTGGCGTCAAAATCGATCTCCTTTTAATTCCCACAGATCGGCAACGGCGAGGCTTGTTTTTTCTCCTCCTTGACCGCGATGCGATTTTCAGAAACCGCCTTTTTTTTCACTCGAAGAACAGAAGTGTGAGCTCAGCGATTAGTCACCGCAGACTTCGAGATGGGACGGAGCCCGCTAAGCAAGACACGGCAACGGCGAGTCAGTGGGGGGGATTGACGCCATCGGGGTGGAGGCTGTTGAAGATTGTCTTCTGTAGGTGCTCATACTGTAGCATGGTAGATGAGCCTCTTGTTCGTCACTCCCTCCCTGGATGCAGTATTGACTGGCGGCACGGTATCTACCGGGTAGCGTATGTAGTATCTAGAAACAAGATCCGACAAGGTCTGATGCGCAATCGGCATTGGACATGCTGCGATGAATGCTTCCTTGATACAGCCCCCCTTGTCAACACAATCATCAGTGATCAACTCTCAGCTTCTAGGTGCGGTGTGCAAGGGCCCGCTCCGTTTAGAGAAGCACGACCGCGTCAGAAATGATAGAAAAGCCCCGAGTATCTGCGGAGAGTCCGGCCGAGATGCGAACACTCCGTACTTGTCCATAAGAAATCCGTACCTATGAATGGCACAGATGACAATGCATGTAGTATGTAGAAAGCCTTCATACTACTTTCATGTTTATACTACGATAACATGAAGCAGCAGGATGAGTCTATAATACTACCTAACCTACATGTAATACATATCCTGAGGTTCTTTTCCAAGGTCTTGCGCTCCCACACAGGCCAATTGGAATTGGAGTCGGAACGCCGCCGAATGCGACTTCCCAGGTAGGCAGGAAGCGGCGAAATCTTGTTTTTACTCTAATTCTTTGATTTCTTCCTTTTCTCCCTTGGGCTTCCTACCATCTGTCACCACTTCAGCAGACCACATTGTTTGCAAAAGGAATTGACAGTACCCTCAATTGCCTGAGTGTGTGTCAAATCCGCTTCCCTTCAGGCATCTGACTAATCCAACTTTTAGCAGCTGGCCAATCGCCCATCATGATGGCATAGACGACGCATAGACTACACGTATTCGCCCCGAAGCTGGTCATCGTGTAAAATCTCCCAAGCCCTCTGATCCGCCACTGGCTGGGTCCAACTTCGGCCGATCATGATGCTAAAAACTCCCTCTAGTTCTCTTTCCCTGAACTCCTTCATCCAAGTCGTACCAGCGGAAGTGCTGTTGCAAGAATGAGTTATCGCTTCACAGCCCAAAGGAGGCTCATCAGTCCTCGAATCATCGCGCAGTCGCATATCCTGCGCGCCAGCCGAACGCTGCATCAGTCAAGAGTCCTTCGTGAGGGCAAGAACATCAGTCCCGCTGTCCAGCAGCTGGCGCCTGTGAACCCGTTCCTCAACCCGCCAGCTTCAACGCGCCCGCCGCCACTGCAACCCGTCGAGCCTCAGCCGTCCACCGTCAAGTATTACTTCCAGCTGGGCAAATCTTACGTCAAGTTCTTCACCCAGGGCGTCAAGGCCGTTGTGACGAACGCCAAGCTGGTCAAGGCCAAAGTCAAGAGCCTGCCGAGGGCGGAGCGGCCAACAATCCTCAAGCCGCGCTATATACCAGACTCCTTCACCCGCGCAGATTGGGTGCTGCTGTGGCGAACCAGGCACGATGTCGTGCGGCTGCCCGTCTTTGCCCTGTTCTTCTTGGTGTGTGGAGAATTCACACCTCTCGTGGTCGTCTTCATGAGCGGCATATTGCCCTTTACATGCCGGTTCCCAAGTCTGATGAAGGATATACTGGGAAAGGCCGAACAGCGGCGTGCGGCGGCTTTCAACGATCTGGAGAGCAAGTACTCTCACGGTGCGTTCAGCCCCGGAATCACAAAGGCTGTAGCGCGCCAGCACATTCTCAGAACCTTGGATCTCTCAGGGGCGATGTGGGATCGGCTGGGATTCACTCCCCCGGGAATGTGGAATATCAAGGGCAAACTGCGCATGTCGTACCTGGAAATCGATGACAAGCGACTGCTCGACGGCGGCGGCCCGTTGGGTCTGGAAGTGGAGGAGCTTCGCATTGCCTGTTCTGAACGCGGCCTCGACGTTTTGGGCAAGAGTGAGGGCGAGCTGAGGACCCGACTTGGTGACTGGCTGCGGTTGACCGCGGTTGAGGAGCCGGGCGAGAGGCGGCGGCGGATGGCGACGCTGATGATGACAAGGTGCGTCTTTCTACCGTGGAGTTTCGGCGACGTCCAGCTGACATTTCATTCATTCATACGAGACCTGAAAACTGGCCACAGCAGCGCAACTTTGCCGTTCCCGAGTGGCAGCTGTAAGATGCACTGAGAGTAATGAAGGCACTGGGTTGGGAGTCATGGTACAGGCTGGGCTTTATAGATCTTGATATAGATACACGAGGGCAAGGCCACGGGATAGAAGGAACCACGATATCCATTGCGGTGTCTATATACTGCACCAGGCGATACCATGAACCTGAGCATTGATTCGTTGTGACATCCATTGGCACACATCCACGCAGACGGGAGTCAAAGCCTAAGGCACTACTATGGTAGTTAGATGTACCCGGTAACTCGGCTCTGGCCAGCCCGTGCATCAGCCACATGAACCCAAAGACATGCCGAACTCACAAATCCGCCAAATAAACGATGTCAGAGCACTTTTTCTCTGCTCAAACCAGTGCCGTTCCCACGTGTCAGATCCGGGGATGACCCCACGCCTCCAGAATAGCCGAAAGGCACATCAGCCAAACCATGGATGTCACACGGAAGCGTCATGGAGTCTGCATACGAAGGAAGTCCTTCGTGCATACATGAACCCTTATCAATCTTTATTAAAGAGACAGCTGAGCATTTTCTATCACGACAGGTCGAGGAACGCCTTTTTTATCCTTCCTTTGCAACCAAACATTGTCAGTGCTTGAATATATGCTTTGGAGACAAGCCGTTTTGGGGAGAGGGATTCCGGGGTAGGGGGGAATGGAGCTAAGGCCGGAGCTCACTCAGATGATGTCAGCAACTCAAGTTTGGCCGAGGCTCGCATCACATGCGCGGTTCCCTTGACGGTCATCCATCCATTCCGGCTAATGCTACAATATCCAACGACTCTCTCCATCTTCTCTCCTCTCATCCTCCTTTCTCTAATTCTCAACCCAGCCCAACAATCGATTCTCCAAACGCCTTGACTCTTCCTCTTAACAAGCCCTCCCCTCTCGCAAAAACCCCTCGAGCCCTCGCCCAGCATGTCTCTCAAGAACGGTAAGCAAGCAAGCAAAAAATTGAAAGAACAGATTCAACAGTTCAGAACATGGAAAGCTAACACCGCCCCTTCCATGCAGACGCCTTCCCCTCCTCCGAGGCCTTCGACGCCATCAACGCCGCCCTCAGCAGCAGCGAAGCCGACCGCAAGGACGCCATCAAGAACGGCAACGCCGTCTTCGCCTTCACCCTCAAGAACAAGGCCGGCGAGACGGCCAGCTGGCACATTGACCTCAAGAACACCGGCACAGTCGGCACAGGCGTCGGCGAGAATCCCACCGGTACGCGCTTCCCCCCCTTTTTACATACTTTGCCACCTTTACCCTCCTACAAGGAAATGCGTTCCAGGTGAATCCTTGGCAGAAACTGTTGCTGACGTTTTATTTGCCTGCAGTCACCCTCTCTCTCTCAGACGAAGACTTTGGCAAGCTCGTCTCCGGCAAGGCGCAGGCCCAGCGGCTCTTCATGTCCGGCAAGCTCAAGGTCAAGGGCGACGTCATGAAGGCTACCAAGATGGAGCCCATCTTGAAGAAGGCCCAGACCAAGTCCAAGCTGTAGACGCGAGAAGGCTGAACGCGCATAAACCCACGCACAAATTCGATAAAACGAAATTGGGTGTAAATACGACAGGGGGAACCGTTGGAAACACACACACAACCCCCTTTGACGGCACTTTTTTGTTTTGCTCTTCCTCATGTACCATACCAATTGCTGTTGCTGGTTTGACTGATGTTCGCCTCGGTGGTTCTGGCTCCCACCGTAAAAGAGGAGGGAGGGGGGAAGGGAGAACGGTCATTTCAAGCTCATGGTGCCTTATGACTTCTGGCATAGACGAGAATACCATTTTCCAGCTGGATTCGTTTCCAGCGTGGACCTTTTTGTTTACTTTCTTGGTTTATTTCCTCGAGCGTACAATTGAGGCAGATTCTGACATGTCCTTACACCTAAACACGCGCCGCAACCTTACGAATAGCCTGCCTCGCCTCCTCTCGTACCTCACGCACGATCTCACCCGCAGGCTGCTCCTTTCTCACCATGCCAATCGCCGCGCCCCTAATAGCACACACGTACAAATCCATCAGCGCCAATCATGAAATTGCATCTTGCAAAACACACACTCACACACACAACCAAGCGAGAAAAAGAGGGGAAAGGGGGAAAGGTAAGGAAAACTCACGCCCAGGTATTAATCAGCCTCGTCGCCTCCTCAGGCGAGTGATCCTCGTGCAACTCCCTCCAGCACTCGTCCAGAGAGGCTCCCGCCAGGAACTTCTCATGGATGGGCCCCACGACGGCCCTCCCGTCGTAGAGCGAGCCCCAGAGGGCCGAGCCGGCGATCTGGTCGTTGAAGGGCGACTTGAGCGTCGAGAGGGCGCCGTCGGAGGCCTCGAGGATGATTTGCTTGCGGAAGTCGGGGACGATGCTCTCCTTGGCGACGGTGAACTGCGGTGGGAAAGTTAGGGGGTCATGTTACATGTAGTTTTTTGGTTTCAATCGCCTGGAGTTTTGCCTTGGGTGGACTTTTTGGGATTTGGGATATACAAACTCTTGTGCCCATGACCACGGCATCCGCTTCTACAGTTTGCTTGTTAGCCATCATGATCAAAACCACTCACACAAGATGTCCTTCCGTCTTCCACATCCCGACTCACCGAGCGTCAACATAGCCGCCACACTCTTCCCATCCGCAATGCCCCCCGCCGCAAGCACACAAACGCCCTCATCACCACCATAACAACCCCCCTCATCAACCAGCCTCCTCGTCTCCGCCAACAGCGGCACCACCCCCATCCCCCTCCGGTACTGATGCCCTCCCGCGTCCGTCCCCTGGCAGACCACCGCGTCCGCCCCGTCCTCGAGGGCCTCCCTCGCGGCCGCCACGTTGCCCACCTGCACAAACACCTTGGGCGCCGTCACTCCCTCCTCATCATCTTTCCCCAGCCCCTTGAGCAGCCGCACAATCTCCCCCTGCGGCCGGATGTGCTCGTGCGGCGCAAAGAGCCACACCGCGGCCGGCCTGTGCCTGCGGATCACGGGCAGCGCCGTGGCCGCGAAGCTGCCGATGCTCGGGTGGCACGTCAGGAAGCCCGCGCCGACGCGGAGGCGGCCCGAGGGCGTTGTCGTCGTCGTCGAGTCGGCGGAGTCGTCGTCGCCGCCGCCGAGCAGCTGGCGGATCTTGGTGAGGTCCGCGTCGAGCTTGGTTACTTGGGGCGAGTTTTCGCTGACGTCTGCGATGCACCCGAGGAGGCCTTTTTTTTTTCCCGATGTTAGTTATTCGACATGGAAATTTCCCCGTCGATTTGATTCCTCAAGTGTTTTTTTCCATTATTCTCCATTTATAAACTTATATATACGCGGAAAATGGAGGCTTTCTTCGTCAATACAACACATACCGAGTCCGCCCGCCTTGGACACCTCGGCGGCAAGTTCCGGGCTGACGGCGCCAGCCATCGGCGCATTGACAATCACGGGCGCTTCAGTCCACGGGAACCATTGCTGGATCTTGCTGCTCGACATTGCTGAAGCTTTTTCTTTTCCCTGTGGATAAAACAAAACAAGAAAGAAGTACAAGTATCTACAAGTGCAATTGTGTTTTGTATGTCTCGGGAAAGATTGACGATGAGTTCAAGGGGTCCTTCGTCAAAACCTCTGAACAGAGCGGGGGGGATTATGATGCGACGACAACAAAGCTTGAGTCGAAGCGTATCTGACAAAGGTGGATATATAAGGCAGAGAATGAAGATGTGGAGGGGTAAACATAAGGCTGGGCGAATCTGAGAAGCATCCAGCCACTCTCCCCGGAGATGCTGCTTCTGCTGATTGATAACTACCTTACCTTAGTGGCTACTTTACACTTCGTGTCATCTTCCTAGACTAGGGCTTACACGCAGAGTCTTGAATGCTTGAATCACGTAGTATCAAAGCTGGCAGTGATGGATGGTCTGTGGTATCATTCTATTGGTTGGCGAATGAGGAAACGAGCCGAGTCCGTCCTCCCCATTGGAGAACAAACAGGAAAATATCAGTGAGCGCCTCTCTTATGTCGACTACATTGGATGAGCGACAGGAGGTCGGTATTGATCATAACACAATGAAGGATATGTCACAGAGTAATTCCTCGAACGAGAACGAGGTGAGATGAGATGTCAGCAAGCCGCCCGTCTCATTATACTTCTAGAGCGATGGCCCATTTGGGACTGCTTTTCTTTGCTTTCACCCCTTTCCTTTCTCTTCTTTTTACTCCTTCACTTCAACAAACCCCCTACTCCCGGTCGTTCAGCTTGGGAGGCTTGTTGTTCAGAATCTCGTCAATCTCCGCCATAATCTCAGGCGTCAACTTGTCCACGACATCCAGGGCCTTGATGTTCTCATACACCTGCTCAGGGCTGCTGGCACCGGTAATGGCCGAGCTGACGTTGGGGTTCCTGAGCACCCAGCCGAGGGCCAGGGCGCTCTGCTTGACGCCCAGCTTCTCGGCAATGGGCTCCAGCCTGTTGACCTTTTCAATGTGTCCCTCCCAGACCTCCTTTCCGGTCCGCTTCCAGTAGCCGGCGATGAAGGCGACCTCGGTCCGGGCGAAGCGCGAGTTGTCCGGGATGCCGTTCTTGTACTTGCCCGTCAGGATGCCCTGGAACATGGGGGAGAAGGTGGTCAGGCCGAGGCCGTGCTCGCGGTACAGGAACTCGAACTCTCCCTCCACCTTTTGTCGGTTGAGCATGTGGTACGCAGGCTGCTCCATCAGGGGGCCGATGAGGCCCAGCCTGTCTGCCACGCGCCACGCCTCGGCGATCTCGACGGCCGTCCACTCCGACGTGCCCCAGTAGAAGGCCTTGCCGGTGTCGATGATGTGGTTGAAGGCGCGGACCGTCTCCTCCATGGGCGTCTTTCGGTCTGGGCGGTGGGCGTAGATGAGGTCGACGTACTCGAGGTCGAGCCGCTTGAGCGAGGCGTTGACGCCTTCGACGATGTGCTTTCGGGACAGGCCGACGTTGTTGACGGGGTTGGTGCCGAAGTTTTGGCCCCAGTAGATCTGCAGAGATGGGAAAGAAAAGGCGCCACCGTTAGCGAAAGCTCTCAGACTGACGATAGCAGGTACACCATATGCGCTGCTGGGGAGGGAGGGGGGCTGCGCAGTACCTTGGTGGAGATGACCAGGTCGTTGCGCTTCCAGCCAAACTTCTTGATGGCCTCGCCCATGACAATCTCCGACTCGCCCCCGGCATAGACCTCGGCGCAGTCGAAGAAGTTGACGCCGCAGTCGTAGGCGGCCTTCATGCAGGCATATGTGCCCTCTGTCAAACCACCAGTCAGTACGTTTGTATTCCTCGACTTTTGTTCGCGTCCAGTTCCATTGCTCCTCCTGCTTCTCCCTCCTCCGGCTGCTCTTTATTGTTCCCTCCTCCTCAACCCTCTTCACCCCTGGGCTGACAACGATGCTTCATCGTCGCACCATTGCAACTCCTCTTACGCACCTCGGTCGACGTGGCCACCGTACGTGAGCCATCCACCCAGAGAGATGGACGAGACCTGGAGACCTGAGCGTCCCAGGTTCCGGTACGTCATCTCGGGGAGTCCCTCTGGTTTGGTCATTGTGTCGTGCTTGGGCGGGTTGCTCGCGATACGTCTGTGTTGCTTCGCAGGATCAGTCCGGGAGAGAGAACCGCGCAGAGCTTAAGAGCAACCGGTCCTGTTTAAGTACCTCAACTTGCTTCATTTCCCCTCCCCCCATCTTGGAGGGGTCGTTCAATGCTCCTCCCCTTGCCCTCATTTTCCCCCTTCACCATCCAGTAGCATCTCTATTACTTCCTCGCACCCCAGCCAGAGCTCCCACGAACAGGCGGGGCAATCTTGTGTCACCCACGCCATCGAAAGACGTAACCACTTGTGCCAATATCGCCCCCCCCCCACCAAGTCGAACGGGGAGAAGCCGTAGATCCATGGAGGAGGAGAGCAAGGAAGAGACGGACAAGGTGGGAAATAGCCGCGAGCCGTCTTAGCACGAACGCAGGACCAGGCCTTGGCGCAAGGCGGAAACTGCCAATGGCATCGATATGTCCGGATTTCTAAGCACTGAAGCCGGGGAAACTTGCAACAAATTGTAACGGAGTAGTATCGATGGCTGTGGATCAAGTCTAGTCGGGGAGGTCGGGCTAAATGCGAGGAGGGGCTGAGAGAAAGATGGCGGCACTATTCATCAGAGGTGCGTTGGAGCTGTGTGGGACAATCTGGACGGTGACAGCCAAAGGGCACCTTGATAGGCAAGTCGATGAGCCTTTGATGTCAATCAGGCTTAACCGGCACATTGCTGTCTCTGCAGAGGTGAGTTTCAATGGCAGAACCGCGTGAACATTGATAGTCGTCCAAGCCTTGAATTTCAATGCCTCAAAACGTCATCACGCAGCTGCAGGGTAGGTCCTCGCAGACGAAAAGCCCACGGGCGAGGCTACTGAACTCCGCCATCGCCAAGGGCGCTTTGTCTGACGGAAATCGCCGGTCAATTTTTCGGATCTTCCGTTATTGCAATCGGATATCAGTCAAACTTGATCGTGCTATCGCGGCACTTTGTTCTGCCGAATGATGGACGCCGTTTGAGTCACTCGCCGATTATTGAAAGGCAGGACAACATCTCGGAGAAGCGAGAGCCAATGCCAATCCAATCAATCAAGCAATTGATGGTGCCGCCCAAGCCGCGGGCCCCAGATCAACGGAGGACTTGGCCGGAGGACTGCTCCGAAAGAGACGCTCTGATTCGACTCTCGGTTTCCGTGTGTGTGGTCTTTCGGTATAAGATTGCATCCGTCCGCATATCCGTCCTTACCTTGCCTCCATGTTACTTTCACTCCTGGGTTGGTAACATGTCGACTTCCGCGTGTACAACTGAGCGCGAGAGACAGTGTTCTTTGTCCTGACCAACTCAATTCACTCCCACTGCTGCCATTGGGCTAGAGACACGAAGTATAAATGACGCGGTTCAACACGACATTGTCGGCCGTGTTGGCAACACACATGGATTCAGCGCCCCACGGCTCTGCAAGCTGACCAGCAGACAGTACATACATACCTACTCCGTACATGATGATTGATTGATCAACTCCAGGACAAGTATGGGCTGCTGCAACGGGCGCTGCAAGGGCAGCAAAGCACCTCAGCGTCACTCACATGTGCCGCTGCGCGTGACGAGGCTGGCGGTGCAGCGTGGAAAAGCAGATGCAGCGCGCTATTCAATGCAGGCTGTTGTTGGGCAGCCAGTCGTTGAGCGCCTCGTAGCTGACGGCGGGGAAGGGAGGGTTGGATGAGTGCATCAGAGGGCATCGCAGTCAACATACGTACAAGTAGTACTAGTCTAGTATGTAGGCAAGACGGGGAGATATGGGGAGTTCCGGGAGCGGCAAGCTGCCCAGGCACGGAGCCACGAGTAATAAGGTGCCTCGTAGGAAGTACTCGTACGCGCATTGGCCCTTTGACCTGAATGTTCCGTGCCGTACTACGGTTTCTCCTAATACTAAGACAAAGTGAAGGTGAAGGCGGAGGCTGTCCCGCGACAACGCAAACCAACAAACTGGCGATGGAAAAAGCGTCGCCGCTGTGATGCTGCTTGCTCTTCGTCCGAACGAGGTACGTCACTCGTGCGTGTATTATACCTTAAATGATTTCCATACCTCACCGAGCAGCACTCGATCCAGGACTGATGCGTGGAGATGGATGGAGATGAATCTGGCGATGCGTCTCCAGTCCCCAGAGACCCAACAGCGGTTCCGGCAGCAGCAGCATCACCACCGCCAGTTAATAACGCAGTATGGATCTTGTAATCTTGAAGCCGGCTAGTCGAGGTACATACGTAATAATACATGCTTGGTTACCATCAAATACATTCCGGCTCCAGCACGGCAACTCCAACAAGTGGCAGCATTCCGCATCCGTCCTGGATTCATTCTCCAACGTTTCCTGCCCAGGATTCTTCGAGAGTCAGTGAGGAACAATGAGCAGATAAATCTCCCTGGTACGGGGTCAGGGGGCGTCGCAGAAGGTGTTCGGTCATTAGCGACGAGATAGCCTGGGATACCAAACAGCTGGGGATGGGCACCCGTACTCTTTATATATGCCATCAGCTACCAGTACGAAGCACTTCACCAGGGTTCCTTATTAGAACAGCTCCGTATAACGAGAAGCGCATTGCCATCCATCGTTATTGCCGTGGAGACTGGATGGGGCTCTCGTCTGCTGGCTCCCCCGTGCGGCTAACGGAACTGGGCTGTTGGTTCTGGTGTCTCGGTCGAGCCTTGGTCGTCTTCAAGTAGAGACATTGTATTACTAGTACTACTCGTCCCTACTCGTTCCAGCCAGCACGGGAGCAGTCGTCTTCATGTCTGCGCATGCAAAGCGCCGAGTACGTTGGAGGCATGTATGTACGGAGTACATTGTGTGCGAGTCCAAGGCCCCAAGCTCCTTTGCATCTCCCAATGTCATGGACGACATCAGAAACCGACGCTTTGGAAGCGGATAGCAGGCAATGAATGGAGCACGCGGAATGCGAGGGCCACAAGCGAAGAAAAAAGGGCTCTCGATCCGACCATGGCATCTCGCTGCAATCGGCTGGCGCTCGATGCCAAGAGCAGCAGCGACTCGGGAAGCACCGTCCCCGATGATGCCTCGTGCAGGAGGACCAAGACCTGGCTCTCTCTTATTATCACTACCTACTAGCACTACTACTACTACTACCTACCTTACTCAGGGACTATCGTACTACTAGTAGCAGTGAATGGTGCTTTCTTGGTAGTGACGCGAGTCTGGCTCGCGCATTGCGAGCGATTTGGAAGCGAGATGGGCTTGTGGATGACGATGCCGAACCTGCCTCCCTTTACCTTGCTGTCCGGTAGGGCTTACGGTCTTGCATGTGCCTGCCGAGCGACCTTTTCCCTTGACTTTTCTCGTCCTTCCATTCGTTCTTCTCCCCCAAAGAAATACGTGTAACTCGACCTGCACGTGTCTCGCCGCCCGCAACGGTAGCATTGACGCATTTGCTGCAGCCGCTGTGCTTGCAGGTTACATGTAGCAGTACGAAGGTTTATTACTCGTCCCTCTCGAGTCGAGATTGGTGAAAGCCGCAACCAGGCCCATGTGCTTGACCGTAGCTACAACGAAGCCCCAGATCGCATCCTGCATTCAAAAAGCACTTTCAGCTACCTTATCATGTTACCTTGCCTCTTTGAATCAAATCCAGGCACCGAATCGCGTGCAAAGCCAAAAAGCCATGGTACCGCGTCCGGGCGAGTCGTAGCTCGGCTCCATACCGTACCTGACCTGACCTGACCTGGATCAGGTAGCGTAGCTTCGTTTGCATGGCGCCAGACCTCGTTGCGCGGCCGAATCCGTCTCGTTGCTTCTGCTCTCCAGGTCGCATCCATCGAAAGGCAAGGTCACTCGCGTTCCCAGAACGCGTCGAGACACAGGCTAGCGAGGTATCGCTGCGCGCTGTCGAGGGGCTGGCCGGTACCTTTGGCGCGCGTACCCTGCCGGCCCCGAGGTACAGCAAATCCCGCGCGAAGGAACCCTGTCCGGTCCGGGCCTTGATGTTGGAGAAGAGACGAAAACGCTTGCTGGACTGGAACCTTGCAGCGTCCCATTTCCCTCGTCTCTCCCTTTCCTTCCTCTTTCTGCTCCTCCTTTCCGCCGTTTGGGGGCCTTGGCTTGTGCATTTGCCTGATTGAGCGGTTGCTCTCCCGTTGCTTCGTCGCTGTCCGAGAACATCCGCTGCTGTTTGCCAGAGACAACAGCTGAGACGGGAGACATGACAGAGACAACAGCAACAACATGTCATTCATGGCCATCCATCTCCAATTTCTAGCGCAGTGGCAAACCAACCGCCAGCGCCCATCTGCTGATGCGCGCCTGCACAACTGGATTGAAGCTAGTACAGAGTGATAACCGCCGAGTGCCTGGATTGAAAGGGTCGGCTCTTGTCTGGTGTGGGCTGTGGCGCGGTGTCGCCGGTCGCTGCTCGGGTTCGTACCGCCTGCACCGGAGATACCTCCAGCCGTGCGCGTGTTCAGCGGTGGCTCGGCCGTACCTCAGCGTCGGTAGATACCTACATACCTACCAGACGCTTGGGCGACTGTCGTATTGAACGCTCGTATAACAGTACCTAGACGCGCTGTGATGGCCGGCGGCAGTGGGCAGACAGTTTCCAGCTGGAACTCGAATCTCATGGTCGCATGAATCCAGATCGGATGGATCAAATGTCCTCAACTTTTGTGCAGCGCAGTGCAGTGCAGTGCAGTGCACTCAACTCACTCACTCCAGCAACTCTCACTCACTGCACGCTGGATGCTCCGCTAGCGCCTCGGGCCAGCAGCCAACCGGCCGCCTGCTAGGCACCGGCTAGGCCTGCTAGGGCCCAAGGCTAGTGGCCCGCCCGCCACTCAGCGCTCGTCGCAGGCCCTCTAGGCTCGAGCCCCCAGCACACGGGACAGCCCCCAGGCTGGCTTGACCGCCCGGCCCCCCAGCGCGGACCCCCTGCCCAACCCGCCAACCCCTGCCACCGCAGACTTTGCCTCGCCCCAAGCCGACTGGAACAACTGAAGCCAAGCACTCGAACCCCCGGCCCAGCAGGTCAGGTCTGTCCACCCGCTCCTTCGTCCTTTTTCTCTGCTGCTGCACTGCAACTGCTCTGCTACCCATTCCACCTCATCAACCCATCAACCCTCTCGTCTGGTCCATCCGCTCGCCCATCGCCCGCCGCCTCCCGCCTCCGTCCCAGCATCGCGCCGGAATGCCCAGTTCACGCCGCCGCTGACCGTTGCTTGCTCTTGTATCCTTTTGGCCCTCCCTCCCGCCAGCCGCCGGCCCTCTGATTATCCGCGCTCCCCCTGTCCAGGGGCTGCTCTCGTTGCTCCCGAGCCTCGTCGTGCTCGACCGTCCGTCCGACCGGAAGTAGTCGACGATCCGCCTCTCGCCCTCAGTTCCTCCATCGCCGCCATCCTGCCTCGACTTCTCGACGCTGCTCCTCGCCCACCATCGCAATGGCTTCCTCGTCGTCAAACGTCGTCGGCGTCCACTACCGGGTCGGCAAGAAAATCGGAGAGGGTTCCTTTGGAGTCATCTTTGAGGGAACCAATCTGCTCAACAACCAGCAGGTGGCCATCAAATTTGTGAGTTAGCAGAGCCCACGACCGCGGCCACACCACTCGCCACGCAGAGACAAGAGAATACGCGCCTTTTTCTTCGCTTCCACTCGGCGCCTCATCATTTTGTTCAGCTTTCGCAGCCCTTCAGTTACTGTCCCCTTATTCGTCACTGACACTGCTGCCTCGCAGGAACCTCGGAAGAGCGATGCACCTCAGCTTAGAGACGAGTACCGCACGTACAAAATCCTCGTTGGTTGCCGTAAGCCACCACTGCACCACAGCTGCATCCCAAAAACCCCCCCATCGACGTGGACGATTGACACTGACGCGCGCGCGCTCTTCTTTTAGCCGGCATTCCCAATGTCTACTACTTCGGACAGGAGGGTTTGCACAACATCCTCGTCATCGACCTGCTTGGACCTTCCCTTGAGGATCTCTTCGACCACTGCGGACGCCGGTTCACCATCAAGACGGTCGTCATGGTTGCCAAGCAGATGCTTTCTCGAGTGCAGACGATACACGAAAAGAACCTCATCTACCGTGATATCAAGCCCGACAACTTCCTGATCGGACGACCCGGCACCAAGGCGTCCAATGTTATTCACGTGGTCGACTTTGGCATGGCGAAGCAGTATCGAGACCCCAAGACCAAGCAGCACATCCCCTACCGCGAGCGCAAGTCGCTGTCCGGCACTGCCCGATACATGAGCATCAACACCCATCTTGGCCGCGAACAATCTCGACGTGACGACCTCGAGGCTCTCGGCCACGTCTTCATGTACTTCCTTCGCGGCGGTCTTCCCTGGCAGGGCCTGAAGGCTGCTACTAACAAGCAAAAGTACGAGAAGATCGGAGAGAAGAAGCAGACCACTGCCATCAAGGATCTGTGCGAAGGCTTCCCCGAGGAGTTCAGCAAGTACCTGACGTACGTCCGAAACCTGGGCTTCGAGGACACTCCCGACTACGACTACCTTCGCGAGCTCTTCACCCAGGCGCTGAAGAACGCCGGCGACGTTGAGGATGGCGAGTACGACTGGATGAAGATCACCAAGGATTCGGGAAAGGGGTGGGACTCGATGAAGAATCATGGCGCAGCATACTTGCACAACCCAAACGCGCGCCCCGGTCCTTCTCAAATGGAGCTGCACAGTGGTCATCGTCCTGGGAATACCACCTCTCAACAGCAGGCTCAGAATCTCACTGTCAGCCGTTTAAACGCCGCGCAGCCCCCTCCTCCATCGCCGATCAAGCAGATGGGGAGCAAGAGAGATCGGCCAAACGCCCCAGGCGCACTGCCAGCCCAGCGGATGAGTGGAACAGGCCTCCGCGAGATGGGTACCCCGACTGGCTCAACTCAGGCCCAGTTCCAGAACAGCGCCCAGAACCTCCCTCAGCCGATAACGAGCCAGCAGGGCCCAATGACGACCGCGGGCCAGCCTAGTGCGCGACCTGCCGAGCAGCAGCAGCCCAGCGGCTTCCAGAAGTTCATGAAGACCATCTGCTGTGGCTAAAGAGGCTTCTTTCTCTGCGACTGTTGGGGTTCTTCTTCCTTTCTCTTTCCAAGTACCCTGCATGGCTTCGACGTTGTACCCCGACAAGTTCTGTCGACGCCCCTCTTAATTCTACTGGAGATTTGATTCCCCGACGCAAACAAAAGACAAAAACCTAAATTGACCTGCTGGCGCAACGGCCGCCGTGTTCGCTCTCTGGACCTGGGCGACTGCGGCTTGACCAAACCAAAACCGAGATGGCGACGGAGCTGCAGATGGATGGACCAGAGAGAGGCGATGGACCGTTCAAGGCGATTGCGCCCTGGCTTGGAAACAAGAGCGAATCGATTTACTCCATACATTCACCACATCCACGTCATAACACCTACCACTCAATAGAAGATCTGCGGCATTGATGGGAGCGCGTGTTCATTACGACCATCCGAGAAGGAGTTGAGAAGAGGAGTAAAAAAACGAGAGACGGATACTGGTCTTGATTTCGAGTTTGGACGTTTTTTGTCTTTTTTTATTTCTTCTTCTGTTTTTCTTTTTTTTTTTTTCATAGTATCACTTTTCCTTTGTCCTTTTTTTTTTTTTTTCTGTTTCTCTCATGTCTGACATTCCATTACGACACCATACTACACCACTTTCGATGTGCAGCGCAGCAAGGCGCAGGACGGTCACGAAGGGCAGCATTGGGTCTGGTCCAGGTGTGCTTTTCTTTTTACTCTATTTGCGCCGTCTATATAATAAGCCTTGCGAATCATGGAGCGGCAGAGAACGAGATAGACGCGGGAAGGAAAGGGAGCGGTGAGCCGGCGTGAGCGTGTATAGAAGAGGCGAGGTCGAAGGAGTGGCGGTTCGGAATCCGGCGAGCTTTGTAGGGGAGAGACGAGACGAGAGAAGAAGAGAGAGATGTCTTTGAGAGTTTGGGATCCGTCATTAGGTAGGGAGTTATTCATCGGTATACCTTGTAATGGAATTAGGATTGTCCAAAAAAACAACATACGAAAACCAGAAAAAAACAGCTCAAGCAAATCACGTACACCAAAATCAATCAACTGGAATAATCACTACTTCTTATTATAAACTTACGTTTACTTCTTTTCGATTTTGCCGTAATCACGCTCGCCATTGCCTTGTGTAAATGGGCCCCCTTTGTCATCATCGCACACAACCTGAGGAAACGCACCGTTGAAGCTTGGAGTTTTGCTTTTTGAGGTCTTCGATGTTGCGATGAAACTGTATCAATCGTGTTTTCGTTCATTTGTTTCTTTCAATGCGCGCCGTATGGTAATCATATTTTGTGTATACGCTCTCACGCCTCTCCCTCCATCCCAAACAGCCCAACGAAGCTCAGTATAATCCCCCTTTCCCATTTTTGCCCCCCCGCCCTTCGAACCACTCCCTTGCTTTCGCCAATAGTTTCTCTCTTTTATCATCATCCATGACCCCTTTAGGTAAGCTTCTGCTTGATGAAGAATGATCGCAGGTGAGAGAGCTGCCAGGCGCAGGTGGCGCCGAGGACGACGAGCTGGATGATGATCCAGCGGACGACGCGGGCGTTTGTCGATTCGGACTGGTCTCTGAACTCGGCTTCTCGCTCCTATATTATACACACAAACAAATCTATTAGCATCCCCCAGCCAAAGACCTAGACAGAAAAGAAAAAAAAAAAAAAAGGGAAAGGGAGGTTGACTGACTCTCTGGAAAACCTGCTCCCTGCGAATGTCGTTGAGCCGGGCGTTGAGGTCCCTGACGCGCGAGGTAATGTCCTGCAGCTTGTCCTTGTCGTCGCTCTCAATCTGGTTCGTCTCGCCAATGACCATGTCGAGGCGCAGGCGGATGCCGCCGTTGTGGTTGGCGGTGGAGAGCCAGCCGGGGCGGCCGCTGCTGGACGAGGGCGTGAAGCAGATCTTGTGGTCGCCCGCGTCGGCGGCGGAGAAGGTGAAGCGGCCGGAGGAGGTGCCTCGCTGGGAGACGACGCGGTGGTTGTTGTCAAAGATTTCCTGCCGGAGTAGTTAGCTGCCTGTTCAACATCTTCTTTTGAGGCTTGGATGGGGTGGGTTTCTCTTGACTGAGGGTATACGCACGTCGACGGTGATGTAGATGCTGATGCCCTGGTGTTCCTGCCACATGTTGGCCCGGTCGTCCCACTCCTCGGCCGAGTAGTGGCCCACGACCAGAGTGTCCTTGGGGAGCTCTTCGTAGAAGCACTTGGGCGTGCCGCCGTCGATGTAGAAGTACAGGGCCTGCGCCGCGGCCACGAAGGTGGCCAGAGTGAAGAGGGACCTCATTTCTCGTCCTGTTCTGTGGTGGTGGTTGCTCTTCGTTTGTGTAGACCGGTGGTGGCTTTGCGCGGGACCTCCGTCGAACTTGTTGTCCTTCGGGCTCGTGTAATTGATCCTCTGGGCCTTCTCTGTAAGCAAAAAAGGAGTCAAAGCAGATCACTCTGGCCGCTGCGTCAACCTGCCGATTGAGTCCCTGGTTCGATTGTAGAGCAAAAGAGAGAAGCGCAATTGCAGGTCGAGAGTCTCCCTGGGCCAACCGATCACTCGATGTCCCCTCTAGCCGCTAAAAGGCGAAGCTGCCACGTTCAGGCAATCCAGGGGTCTGTAAGCCGGTTTGCGCGGGTCACGTGCACCAGACGCGCTTTTGCAGAACTTCAGTTCAATCCATCAGCCTCGCAACGGCCCTCATGCTGCTACTCCATAATAATAATCAAAACATCCCTGGGTCGCTGCGTTTGCATCTCCTTTGACTTGTCGCCCGGACTCGCATCTGATATCTAGAAGCACTGAACTGAACTACAGATCATCCAGCGCCTTCAACACCCGACCGAACGAATCGAACAAACTTCTTCTGCCGCTTCGTCTCGACTGCCTTCACAGAAGAGAGCAGAGGAGCGATGACGGCATAAACCAGCCTTCCCTAACCCCCCTCCCCTTCGTGCACACCCACACCGACGCTTCCTCGCTCGCAAAAGCAATCATGACATCCTCCGACGTCCGCGACGTGCTCAACCTGCCCGACGGCGCTGCCGGCGGCCCTCGCCCCTCCAAGAAGCAAAAGGTCGCCGCCCCGCGCCCCAACCTCAAGGGCCTCGCGCGCGAGGTGCACAACCTGGGCGGCGACAACCCCATCGCCATCGTCCCGGAGGTGACGCAGTTCAAGAAGCGCCGGTTCGTCAGCCGCAAGCCCGCCGCGCGATGGGAGCTGCGGCCGTTTCGGAACTCGGGGAGGAAAGACGGGAGCCTGCTGCTGAAGCACTGGAGGAGGGCTGAGGAAGGGAAGCAGTCGTCGTCCTCTGCTGCGACGGAAGGCAATGCGACGGGGCCAAAGGAGGGAGGAGAAGAAGCCATCGAAGATTCCTTGTACGCCAAGTACAACGTTCAGGTCTCCGTGCCCCAGTACAGCGACGACCAGTACCGTCAAGTCTTGGAGAACCCTGACTGGACCAAGGAAGAGACGGATTACCTGATGGAGCTGGTGCGAGACTACGATATCCGGTGGCCCCTCATATGGGATCGATACGAATGGAACCCGCCGGCGACCAATGGAGAGGCCGACGCTGATGGCGACGAGAGAAAGGCTATCGTCCCAGCCACGCGATCCCGGTCAATGGAGGATCTCAAGGCGCGATACTACGAGGTGGCGTCCAGGATGATGGCCGTCCAGAAGCCAGTCCAGTACATGACGCAGCCCGAGTTCGCCCTCCACGAGCTCATGGCACACTTCAACCCCCAGCAGGAAAAGCTGCGCAAGGAATTCGCGCTCAATTCCCTGGGGAGGACGCGCGAGGAGGCGCGCGAGGAAGAGTCGCTACTACTGGAGATCAAGCGCATCTTGGCTAGGAGTGACAGGTTCAACGAGGAACGGAGGGAGCTCTACAACCGCCTGGACTACCCGCATGCGGAGCAGGACATCGCAACGTTCAAGTCATCGGCTGGTTTGCAGACGTTGCTCCAAAACTTGATGACGGCGGACAAGTCCAAGAAGAGAAAGTCCATCATGGGTGGCGAGGTGCCCACGCCGTCGGGACAGCCCACACCGCAGCAGGCGGCTCCGGAGAACGGAAGACGTGATAGCGCTGCCCCTTCCACTGGCCGACGCGAGTCGGATGCGCCCACCGCGGCGTCCACCTCGAACAAGAAATCCCAGCAGCAGCAGCAACAGCAGCATCAAGCGCAGCAACAGGCGCAACAACAGCAGCAGGCTCAACAGGCCCAGCCGCAGGAGCGCAAGAAGCTGACCGAACAAGAGGAGCTCATCTACGGCGTCACGCACCACGACCGTCTCGGCTCCGGCCCTACCTTCCGCACGGAGAAGATCAACAAGCTCTTCTCCCACAAGTCCAACCAGCAGCAGCTGCGCATCACCAACACGCTTAACGAGCTGGACGTCCCGGCCAAACTGGCCATGCCCACGGCGGCGACGACGGCCGCGTTTGAGCAGCTTCTGGCGGCTGTGAACAGCCTCCTCGATGCTCGCAAGGTCAACGACAAGATTGATGCCGAGATTCGGCTGGAGCTGGCCAAGAAGGCTGAATTGGAGAAGGCTCTGGGTCACCAGGAAGCTGACAAGTCCGAGGACGCTGACGGCGATGCCAAGGACGAGACGGCTGCGGCAGAGGAGGCCTCTAAAGACGATGACCAGGAAAACGGCGCCGAAGCTCAGCCTGACGGGGACGGTGAACAAGAAAAAGGCGAAAAGGCAGCGCCGCCTGACGAAGCAGCGGCCAAGCCATCCGTCGAAGGACCAGACGAGAAGAACAAACCCACCGACACCAACGCGGACAAGGACAAGGAGAAAGACGGCCAGCCGGAGAGCGGCGTCACCACTCGCAAGCGGAGCGCCAGTGTGCTGAGCTCCGTGAGTGACAAGAGCACCAAGAAGCAGAAGAAATGATGAATTCTCTGCAAAGTACCTCTCCCGTACCGGTACCTTTTCTTTTACGCGCCCATTTTCCCCCATCATTACCTACCTTGTTCCTTTTTTGTTTCTATGAATATCAATGGCGGAGAGATGATGCCCTGTCCGAACGGGGTAGAAGAAATAAGCAACCTGCAGGGCATTGGGAAGCGAGATTCATCTACGATCGTGTGAATCCGCTTTTTGCAGCAATCGGCCATGTGCAGGCGCGCATATGAATCACCTACATATTACTCTTACTACCCGCAACAATGAAAAGGTTAGCGGTTAATACCAACCATCACACACCCCCAAGGGCCTGTCGACAAGCGCTTGTGCAAGATGAGAGATACGGTATGAAACAAACATGCTTCCCGTGAGGAGCTCAATGGAGCCGAGCGCTTCTGTTCGGAAACATTTGCGATGGAGGGGCGAGGCGGAGGGTGTATTGAAGTTTGCTCTCCTCGGGCATTCCGCGTACCTCGAAGCGCCCACGGTCGCAGGACCGGCCTCGAATATGGAAATGAGAGGATCATGCAGGTCCCGAATGCATTGTGACGTCTTAGGGGGCGCGTGCTAAGGGGAGGGAAAGGAAAGGCAACCGCGCATCTGCTCTGCTCGTGTGGCGCATGAACAAGACTGCGATGGACTAACGGAGCATGGGGGGTTCCGCACGAAACAAAGTTGTCAGAATTCTGTACAAACATGATGGCGGACTGCTCCTTGGACCGGGGAAAAGGAACCAATGGGTAGAGTATTGTAGAATAAGAATTCCAAGGGGGGAGACGTGAGCTTCATCGACGGGGTTCATGAACTGATGTCTCGATAAAGCCCATGCTCCTTTTAGCCAGCTGCATTGCGGCTACATCTTAATATAGCAACAACGTCTCTAAAAATAACAACTTCCCCTGATCTCGCATAGAATCCGAAGATCGAGATAGCTATATCTGGGCACGAGCTAACATCTGGGATGTCCAGAGAAGGAAGAGGGAGAGGGGCAGAGAGAGATGGAGGGGCGTGTACGAAGCATCACCAGCAAGCAGTGGCAAGGCGCTCGGCGGTACCGCGAGCGTGGGATGGGGATCCAGGAACAAGATGCAGTCAAGGGCCTCTCCGGGATGCAGGTTGTAGGGGGAGCTGCAGCGCGGGAACCTTCTTGCCGCTTCCTCTTTGGTATAAGAAGGCATTGGCAGGGAGTGAAAGGAAGACAGAAATAGAAACAAGTGAAGGGTGTATGCCACCACTGACAGGCATCCTACTTGGTGTCTCGGGTCGTTACTCTCGGCGTGGACGTGTGGAGAAGATGTCTGTTTGTCTCCATCGCGAGAGCGGTTCCTGGGCGGGTAAGAGGCGCTCGTTGGTGTTGTTCGTTCGGTACCGGGATCTGGGGCGGCAATATGTATGCAAGGTCCAAGGTGTGATGATGCCTTGCATGAAACATGGGCGATAAAAATAGCAGCCAGAGTGCTACATCGCCTTCTCCTTCTTGATCTGCGAGTCCCTGTTGATGGCAACGCATGGAAAAGGAGCTCGAGGACCCGGCGGATAGGGAGCAAGATGTCGAAAACGGAGCAAGAATCGTTCTAGAAAATGCTCGCAGGCGCTTATCCTATTCGCTGAGCGGCTATTTGGAGGGAAACTATTGGACGACAGCGCTCGAGGCGTTGCGGGGGTGGAGAAAACGAGCGCGAGAACGAATCTGACTGATTGCTGTCTTTGCTTCGTTTGCCTGCTCTGCGAACTCTTGACGAAATTGAACCACGGCCGTGTGGAGAAGAACTATTTTTGGGCCTGGCCTTGTTGAGATGATGAAGACAAATGCGACATGCCCGATTTTTGAACTCCGCAATGGCAGGAACGGCGCAGGCAATCATGTATTCTCGTCATCATGAAAGGTGACATGCCCTGCTGTAATTGGCCAGGTGAGAGCGTATGCCATGGAAGTCCTGAAGTTGGAGGAAGCTTCGTACAAAGCAATAAGTGGTCTCGGGCACATCCTGAACGTCTTGATGCGAAGATCTCATCCCTTGTTTACTTGCAATCAGCAGAGCTTCGTTTCCTGAGTTTGAGGGCGATGTGCTTGGTCGCGAGACAGCCTCGGATCGAAAATGACTTGATGACGGGCAACACCCTGCCCTGAGTCAGCGTAATCCAACCCCGAGAGACTCACTCACTTGGGAGCACTTCGTAGGATGAGCTGCTAACACTCATCCGGACAAGTGAGCACTCCGTCCAGTTGCCTTGAGGCCGTTGGGTGAAGCTGGTCGGAGCTGCACGATTTCGGCAATGTTTACCCGATTCAACCAAGGGTCCCTCCAGCGTTGGCTCCTCTGTCCCTTCGTTTCCCCCTTGCAAAGGCAAAGGGCCAGCCCGGCCGCTATTTGCGGAATCACAATCAACAGCAACTCCAATCTTTGGCCTCGAAGAGAGTGAAGAGAGCGATTTTCCGGGCCGACGCTCCCTTCTTCTTCCCTTCCTCTCTCTCTCTCTCCCCCTCTGTCCCGTTCCCTGGCCTGCTGCGCGCTTGCAACACCCGCCATCTTTATTTTAGCCTCGCTAAAGCCCAGACACCAAGCACAGGCCGGGAATCTTCAACCAACCGCACACGCCCCCCTCCTCGACCCAAAACCCCCACTTTGTTTCTTTTCTCGTGCCTCGTCCAGTCTTTTGTTAGTTCGTACCCAGCACAGGTGCAACTCCAGCAGAGTAGTTGTAGGGTGCAGTTGCTCACTTGGCCCTCGAATTGGGAGCCAACAACGCACTCGCGTGCTCGCCCGGATCCTTCTTTCATGCACCGTGTCGTAATAATCAGCTGCAGGGTATAGGTAGTCTCTGCTCCGAGCATTGAGAGGCAAGATCTCGCAAACACTCTCCTCGACTCAGCATTGTCCACTGGGATGCGATCCTCATCCGGCACCGTCACCAACAGTGCCTCAGCCTTTGTGCTTGTACCCGAAGAGCCCGTCAAAGCAGCGTTCGGCTCTTGGCTCTTGGCACATGGCTGCCATGCCATGTCCGAGTATGTACGCCCGCATGGCTTGGTAGATGAATTGCCCACCCAAGGGCTCGCAGTTACTCCACCTCAATTCCAAGATACATTTTACAGAAGTCGGCTGCTCGCTTTCTGTTCGATCACTCTTCCGTATCGAAAACCTGTCCTGTGGGTTAGTGAAAAATCCACTGGGTAAAATGTCCCGTTGCTTCTTAGAGCCAACAGCATACCGCGGTGATGATAATGCTTGTGTCCAAGGCCTTATGCCCACGTAGAAGTAGAAACGTCAGCTGGCATCCTTCAAGCGGCTGGCCCGAGAGCTGAAAACCCCCGCCGGAATCATTAAACTGAGGCGACTGCGCTTCACACGAGTAGTATGCGAATACTACTACACACTTCGTCGCGTGGTACCACCTTGCGGACTCGTACCAGTATGAATAAGGATATTGTCGTAGTGTTGTCGGCGACATACGGTATCCTATCCCATCCTGCTTGTGAGAGGGTGGCCACGGTCTTGGACTCCCCTGGTTGCCCACCACGGGTCTCTGAACTTTAGTCTGACGAAGGCGTGCAGCAGAATATACGGTGTAACAGCCCTCTGCAAGCCCATTAGAGGAGAGCTGTATTAGAACTTGGCCCGCGGATTCAGCGTTGTGATGATAGGCATGTCGCCCAAGTTAGGACTTGTCCGTAACGGTTTCCCTTTGATATCTCCCCCTAGCATGGGCAGGTCGAAGTCCACAAAGGAGATACTCGTAGATAAAATGACGGCGCCTGGTGATGAGCTATCTCATGCCATTAGACGCCATTCATGTAGTAGTAGAGCGGGTAGCGAATAGAGCAGGCGGGGTCCGATCCCTCGAAGGAATACTGACTCGTGCCGTTACCAGTTCGAGGGCATTATGAGGGTCAAGATAACCGGCGTTAAGATGCGGCAACTCAGGAAGTTTGCTCTCATTGTTCCTGATCTACGCAGCCTTAGGAAACGCTAAGCATGGAGACGGAACGTGCCTCCGTGATCTTGATTCAGTGGCTGGAGTCTAGTCCTGCGTGTTGTAGGAAGCTGCAATTTTACAACGACCAAGCCAGCGGCTCTTGATCTGCAAATGTCCGCTGGTGGTCGATGACTCAAGGCAGCCGCCGGTTGGGTATGTTCCAGCGGCTATCCTGGCGACATACCAAACGAAGGACGTGAGGGAAGTAGTCAAAACTCGCATCCTTTTTCGGCCCAAGTCGTTCCGGCGGTGTGATATCTCAGTAACTTCGCAGGCAAGCGTTTCAGATCGGAACAAGCCACGAACTGTCTGGCCAATTTCCAAGATGCCGTGTCCGGTCATGTGCCACCAGGAGCCCAACATCGACCCTCAAAGGATGATGTGGTGTGCTAGATGAGTCGTGCTGGCCATCACAGCCAAGCAATCCTCTGGTGTTGCTGTGCCAGCGTTCGACAGCGTTGTTAATCAGCAGTAGTCATGTATGAGAAGCCGTTTCCTCATGCAAGAGTATGGCCGACACACAGTTGCCCAGTCTTCGCCCATTCAACGCAGGGCATCTTGTTGACCAGTAAGGGATTGTGTACTTCATACTTGTGGGCATATGCCCCCGACCTCGGAAAGCTTGTTGCCGTTACGCAACGCGATGCAAGCAGTATCTCTGCAAAGGCACTTGGCTTACCCGTCATAGATCTGATTAGTGAGATCAAGGCTCGGAATTTTCTTCAAGCCTTACAGTAAGTACTGACAGTACTAGTCCCTACCCAGCAGTGGGCAGTCATAGCGCGCCCCGTCTGTAATGGCACGCTGTGAGCATCCGAGACTGGATTCCAGGTGCTTCTTCTCACGGCCATGCTACAGCGCAGAGGTCGCCGGAGCAGAAGCGAAGGCAAACGCTAGTGGAACGGTGGTGCACTTCCAGCGGGTGAAAGCGATGCGGTCGAGCGTACGCCGTACGTGGCCTGGCACAGCCGCGGGCGGCGGCGGCGATACGAGACGAGACGGTCCTAGACGCGGCGTTAGTGAGTAGAAGCTGCTTGACGGCTCACTCCCTGGTCTCTGTGCTCTCATTGGCTCCATGGTCGGACAACAGCCGATGCCCTTGTGCCTTGCCCATCGAGGCAGCTCCGGCCCCTGCCAGCCAAAGTAGGTATATACTATCTATGAAAAAAGTAGGTATCAGTGTCCTCACTGACATTCAAGTGACGGTAATCGTATGCAATAGGTCTCCAGGAAGTTGGAATACTATGAATAGGCATCCGCATGAACAGTCAGAGGAAGCCTATTGCACCTTTTTCGCGGGAGACTCCCTCTCACCTGAGCCAGGTGCATGGAATATGTTGAAGAGGCGGTAGTGTGGTATTACATGCAACAGCTGACGAAAGTTTGGCAGTATCCATGAGCAATAAGCAAGCTGGCAGATGCTGATACGGAGATGCAGACAGACAGGTAGGCTCCGGTGCGATGAGCCCAAGTATGTATCATCTCAATCGCGAGCCCTGCCCATCTGCTCTGAAATTGCTCATGACTGGCAAGACGCCTGTTAGCTAAGTTGTTGTCTCACTCCAATGACGGAACCGGGCAAGATCTGGGACACGTCCATTTCACGATTCCGGATATACACCGACGACAAGTGTGAGCACTTGGCATATGATTTCAAGGCCGAATAAGCAAGCTTTGTTGACAGGCGAGCTCGTGTCACCAGACTTCAGAGGTGCCGTGTTCCTGTATGAAGCAGCCAGAGCCCCAGTGCTGTACTCCGTACGATGGTTTCGAGATGAGACGCCTTGCTCCGTTGCTAGTTCTTCGGACATGCTCTGAGGACCGATCTATGCGTCAAGTAAAGGTGGTTGATTGTCAGAGGCTACTCCGTACAGACGCCTACTCTGGACGGGTATAGGCCGCCTGCACGCGGATAGCTGCTCGCGTTGTGGCCGGTGACTGGCGGAATAGACGGGGAAAGCCCTGTGATAGCTGGTGGCGTCTGGAGCTAGAGGCACCCGTGGATTGGCTAAGCGGGTGTAGGTGGTCGGCGCGCGTTTCCACAACAGGGTACCAGAAACGGGTCGTGCTTGTTGGAATGGAGACTTGGCGACGATGGCGGCCGCGGCTCGCCTTGGGAGGGTGGCACCCCTTGCGATGGCACCCGGATCGGTTGGGCGCAAAGGTGGAACAGTGCTTGGGGAGACGAGAACCTGGTTGCCTGGCTTGGGCGCAGTACATAATACCACTTCGTGCAAGCAGTACCTATAGCGTTCATTGACAGGCCAGGGACCCGAACAGGGGCCTGGAGTGCTCTCGACCAGATGGCAAAGACATGGAGTGTTTCCAAGCCGATGCCTTTGTTGGTAAGCATGGCATCACCGGCCTGGCAATGGGGTGGAATCGCGTATGTACAGGGAGAAGCATCGGTAGGGCGAGGGAGGCTTCAGATCCATAGAAGAAGAAGAATCCAGAGAAGCCTGAGAGAGAGAGTGGAAGAGATAGTCTCATCAGGTGTGATGTGGTGTTTTGCAAGATGCTACTATACCAGAGCGGGGAAACTCAAGCACAGGCAGGAGGAAAGCAGAGCTCTTCCTTGTTGGGTGGTTAGCGTAAGGCAGGAAGGAGCCATGGCGATGTTTGAAGTGACGCGGGGCCTTCTTTCCTCACGCTGTTGGGACTGCAACTGCAGGTGCGAGCACGTTTTTAGCCTGCGTGCATGCCAAACTTTAGTGAGGTAACAACCGTGGGTTTTCACTGGCAATTGCTGAAGTATTACGGAGTACGCTGCCACCTGCTGGATACCAACCTTGGCCGCAGCAGCAGTAGCGTGGAGCGGGTACTCAGCAGGTACTATGCCTCAGATGGAGAAGAACTGCGGACGAGGCAATCTCCATGATGCTATTTTGGGTCTTTGCCCACCAGATTCCCCCCCCTGCTTCACTCCTTGGATGACGATGGAAACAGAGATTTGAAGGACCTACACACTTACTCGTGGTCGAGATGAGTACTACTGCTACTTCTACGGATGGTGCAACCTCTCACCGGCGCAGGTACGCTGGCAGAGACCGTACGAATGACCCGCCATTGTCGTGCCTGGATTGACTTTACCAAGCAGCTGCGAAATCCAGGAACAATCGGGAGCTGCTCTTCCTCGGGTCTCGTGGCGGCGGCAGCATCCCAAGCCCTTCCCCGGTCCGCTGATGTCGACGAAAAGAACGCTAGAAGACGGGCCAGGCGGCTTGGAAGACGGACTGGCGAGACTTGCGCCGTCCAGGTTCCGCGCTGCTGCGCTCACTCCCTCCTCTGCGCAGCATGCGGTCGCCTGTGGTTCTGTGGTAGCCGAGAGAGCGGAGCCGCGGCAACACCGCTTATTACTGCGGTCACACCTCTCTCCACCCCGGGCGAATCGTGCGCGCTGCTTGCTGCGAAACCTGCTGTGGCCTCGCGCTCGAATCTCGCCAGGACCTCTGCGAAGCTTAGCACTGCAGCACAGAGTGGGGGAGACGCTGGCCAAACCGCCGGACATGTCACGGCTGGACCCCCTTGTTACCCGCTGCCAGCGATGTATGCTGGAGCGAGGATTTCAGACTCGATGTTGCGCCCAGCGCCGGCCTCTGGGGTGCCCGAGACCCTTTCTCCTCTGTGCTGATGACGCTGGTCAATGACTGGGAAGCTGATGAGCCACGGGCACTGGGTGACTAGTGGGCATTCCGACAACAGCCAAGATGCCTTCGCCGTCCTTGGGTGCCTTGTGCTGTCTCTGCCAAGGCAAATGATATCTCAGAGACCATCTGGAGCACGCCCACCCCCCTCGGTCGCGGAACACCGCTCCCTTGGACCTCCCTGGCTGCCACTGAGCGTAACCGAAAACTGCCGCCTTTGGGATTGCATATCCGTCTGGCTGGCTTGGGTCTCACACTGGCCATCGCATCACACCCTCCCTCGTCCGTGGAGTTCGGAGGGCTCCTGGGGCATCCACTCACACTTGCGCCTTCGCGCGCATGCACGCACACACTTCTGCACTGCTCCAAGCACAGGCGCACCTGTACGCAGAACCCGGTACCTCGTACGGACTGGGTAGCGCAATTTAGCAGCTTCCATCGCCGTGATGTGGCTTTGGGCTGAGGCCCTGGCGCTCTGGCGAATTGCCACATGCCATGACGGCCAGGTACCAGGGAGCTAGGTTCAAGGTTGCTTGCTTTGGGCTAGCAGCGCTGCTACGTGCAACGGGCGATTGTCGCTCTGGGAGAGGTGTTGGCGCACTTGTTTGAGCCCCAGCAAGAAGCGCCGCCTATTAGCTCTCATGCCTTCATGGGCCAGGTATTGGCTGTGAGGCTTTCTCCATTGCCGGATTGCGCTGTCTGTTTGCACTCGCACCAAGATACGGTGCCTGTTCGTTGAACGCGAGTGGAGGGGGTGGTCCTGGAGTGAGGTGAGCGATCGACTGGCAGAATTACTGCTTCGTACCATGGCTTGCTCGGGGACCTGACCGTTCCCCAGGCCATGGCAGCTACCCACGGAGAGGACCCATCATGTGCGTCCCTTTGAAGCTCCATCCGCTACTACTCCGGGCCTTGGGATGCACGTCCGCACGCACGCACTTGTACGGCCATTGCCCGTCCCGTTGGCAGTGAAAGGACGTCAGTCACTCCATGTATCTGGTACGAACAGTACTTCACGCATGCGTCAAAAGAGCCGCTTTCTTTAGGTGCATCTCGGTACATTCCCGGATCTCTATTGGACGTGGAACCCGCGTGTTTCTCGCCTCGAGGTTCGACGACCATATCTGCATCTGTTTCCCTCTCAGCCCGCACTTCATGGACGTCCTTGGAACTGATCCGCAAGTCTTTGCTCTCCTCCCCTCCTCTCTTTCCCTCTCTTTTGCCTCGTCTTGGAAGGCGTATGGTGGCTGCGGCGCATTACGAAGTGCTGATACATAGCTTGCCCCCCCTGTTGGCCACTCTGCCGCTCTCCCTCCGCGTGCTCACCTTAACCGCCGCTGCTTTGGTTCGGTCTGGCCTGGTCTGTTGGAACCCAAGCAGCTTGTTGTCATCTGTTGCCGGCGATAGATTCATACAAGCAGGTCGTTCCCTTTACCGAGTTCCTCACCATTGCAGCAAGCATTGCACGGCCGAGTAATTACGAAGCTCCCCATTCTCGGGGGACGGGTACTCACACGCCTCCACGTCGTTCCCGTGCTGAACTGGCCACCCCCCCTTGACTAGCAGGCGCAGCATAATCGCGCGTGTAAAAAAAAAAGAAGGGAAAAAAAAAAAAGCTACCTAAGCCCCCCAAGCGCGACCTGAGAAACTTCGGCCCCCCAGCTCTTCCGCCTCGACACCTTCTCTCACCTCCATCTCGACTCCTTGACAACATCTGCACAGCAAAACCCTCTGTGCTCGAGCTCGTCGACACGGCTTGCGCAACTTGTTCGTCGCCCTGCACCACCGAACTTACGACGAGCAACCAAAGGGCACTTGAAGGGCAAGGCTCCGTCTCTCGAGCTGCATTGGACTCACTGGCTGGCTCCGATCTCTCGCTCACTCATTCGTTTGCGCGTGGCTCGCGCTTCACCAGCGCTGGCGACGGTCAGTCCCGCACACACTTTACCGCTGCAACGGCAACGAACCCTTGGGCATTCTAAAGGCCTCGGTCCTAGCGAATTTGAGATTCTGCTCTGCGCGCTTCTATTAATCTTTGTTTACCCTTGGTGGAGTCTGGATTTCGCTGCGTAGCGTTCGTCTACCCAGACCTCACTCGGCCCGGTCTCACTTGCGCAGCCTTTGGTAGAGCCTAGCGCGGTGACTTAATAGCACGACAGCCGTGGACTTGGAAACTCATATACCCCAAAGCCATACTTTCATTGAAAATCTCATATCGTCTGAGCCAGAACTGAACAGCGCTCCTCGTCATCATCAACGTCGCTGTATTCGGCCAAGAGAAGCGGGCCGCGAGGCTGGTTGGTATAAGATCTGTCGCATCTGTTCCGGCCGAAGTCCGAGATCCCCCCCCCTTTGTGTTTAGTGTGCTGCACAGTCATTGAGTGCTATACTGCCATTAAACACTTCTACTCAACATGTCTACCTTCACTGCTCTCAATGGCGCTCCATCAAAGATGACCGAGTCTTCCGCGGCGCCGGCGGACCAAAGCTCTTCTCCTGGAGACCGTCATGCTGGCTCAGTAATAGCCACCTCGGCGCCAGCAGCCGCTGAGATGCCAGCAACTTCATCACAAAGAGACTCCTGGACACCCAGCGCGGACAGGACTATACATGTTGCAACCTATCCGGAAATCGAAGGGTCACATAAGCGTAAGCGATCGGGATCCGTTGAGATCCGGAGAGAGCTCCCAGCGCAAGAGCGTACCCCAGACACCGCGACGGCTCCGTCGCACAACGAGGCCCGCGATCACTATGGCACACCACAGAGAGACTACCGCCCCTACGGTGATGAGCAGCGAGAACGCGACAAGGAAATGTGGTACTCACATCCGTCCCGAGAGGAGAGGAACCCCTACGAGACTCAGCAGAACTCGGCAATCTCGACCCAAAGCAACGCTGATGAGCAGATGGGGGAAGCGCTGAGGCGAGCTACAGGCCAGATGGACCACAGCGATTACACCAACACAAGCCCCGATGGCGATGATCGATCAATGTCTCTCTACGGTGGCTCGTATACAGACCACAGAGGAGACTCGATGCTCCAGCACGACCCGAAGAAGCGGAAGCGGAACTTTAGCAACCGCACGAAAACTGGCTGCCTGACATGCCGCAAGAGGAAGAAGAAGTGCGACGAGCAGAAGCCTGAATGTAGGTTTATGCCCCCCTGAGGCACTCTGTACTAACCCGCCGTATGTGAACGCTGCTCTAACAGAGTCTAACAGGCAGCAACTGCATTCGTGGTGCATTCGTATGTGCCGGCTACCCTCCTCAGAGGGGACCAGGCTGGCAGAAACCGGACAACAAAGCCGCTGCAGTCCCACTCGAATCCAAAGACCCCAGCTACGTTCCGCCCGGTGCGTATGGTATGCCGCAGCCTCACCCGCAGCCTCACCCGCAGGCACAATCTCAGGCGCCTCCGCCTCCAGCCTCGGTGCCCGGGCCGGGACCAGTGCCGGCTCCCTACGCCCCTCACGCCCCTCCCCAGCCTGTAAAACGAGAGTCGTTGAATCATTACCGCGGCCAGGCTCTCCGGATAGACCCCCCTCAAAGCCGGCCAGTGATCATTTCAGACGACGATCGTCCAACGGCGTCGACCATCCCCAGTGCATCCGTGACGAGTCCCGACAACAAGCTCTCTGCGCTGCCGTTCACTCCCGCCAACGTCTTCCCCACGCCCGTGAGCGCAAACACCCAAGCACCGCCCTTTGGCGAGAGGGCGGCAAAGGAGTACCAGCGGGTGCCTCCGCTGCACGACTTGAGCCGGACCGAGCCTGAAACGCCGCATCCAGGCAATCAGCTGCCGCAGATCAATATTCTGCATCCCACGAGGACAAACAGCCCGACGCCTCGCCCGCAGCCGCCTGCAACTTCAAACGCACAGATGGCTGCCCAGCTTGCACTTTCTCACTCGCAATTCCCGCTGCGACGAACTCAAAAGGAGGAGATGCTCTCCGGAAGGCACTTTTACCCGTTTGATAAGGAGCTTTGCCTTGAGCGGGAGCGATGCGCTGCTGCTTGCTGGAGATTCAACAACCTCACGACGCCCCCGACAAACGGCGTTTCTCCCGAAGAGCGAGCACGCTTGTTCCTCGAAATCCTGCAGCCCCGAGACCCCGTCCGCGTTTCTCCCATCGAGGCGTCTCCGGTTACCAACGTTGGACGGGTCGGCCGTCATGTTGCCGTCGAGACTCCCTTTGTCTGCGACTATGGCTATAACATTTCCATTGGCAATGACGTCGTCATTGGGCGAAACTGTACCATCAACGACGTCTGCGAGGTCAAGATTGGGGACAACTGTGTCCTTGGGCCCAATGTCAGCATCTTCACCGCCTCCTTACCTATTGATCCTAAGAAGCGTCAAGGAGGACAGGGGCCGCAGCTGGGCAGACCTATTGTCATTGAACAAGATTGCTGGATCGGCGGCGGTGCCATCATCTTGCCCGGCCGGACCATTGGCAAGGGAAGCACCGTCGGAGCAGGGTCTATCGTTACCAAGGTATGTTTCATTATGTCGTCCAGAGTGTGGAAACGAATAGTTCCAATGCTAATCGTAACTCGCCTTGCAGGATGTGCCTCCCTTTACAATAGTGGCTGGAAATCCAGCGCGCGTCCTTCGCGGCATTGCGTCTTAATACTCTTAATATCTGGGCCTTGTGGCTTCCCTGGGGAGCGTGCTTTTGCACCTCATGTTGTGATACCCAAGCGAGCGCGTATGGTGGAAGCTTGTGTGCGTGCGTATGTACAACTACGCGACTTTATTCCGGACTTTTTGTCTCACCGTCTGTTTCTCTTTTTCCTTTCTTGTTTTTCTTTTGTTTTGTTGTCATTGCTGTGCGCCATTTCCTTTTGTCTCATTACAGGAACAAGAAAGCAAAAGTTTGTGTGGGCGATTACGCTTAATGATATGATTTGAACGTGGGACCTCGCGGCACACACGTGGATTGGATTATGGAACTTGGGAGAGGCAAACTCATTCAGGATGGAATAGCTGGGCTGGACTTGGCTCGGACTGGTTTATACAAGAAGGCCCTCGGCTGAGGGGAGTGTCGGATGGAGTGCGTTGGGTTCTGCTTAGCGATTGTTTCTCTTGTCTTTTTGATTTATTGTTGTCTATTTGTGCCCGTCGTTGGGTATGATTCACAGATAGTGTGTGAATTTGGATATGAATGATGTGACTTGTCTGCGTGGATAGGCGGTTGAGAGTGATCTCTTCGCAAGTTTCTTATGTGTATCTATTTATTGGCCAGTACATGTATTGCATCAAATGTTGCAGAGTTTCGGTAGAGCCCTTGATAGGTGAGGCTAATACGAGACATTATACATCACCCACGAGAGTGTATAATCGCCCACGCCTTTACCCCCTTTTTTTTGCACGTAGACAGCAGTGGATGTAGTACAACCGACGGTGCCCAGCCAAGGTGGTCGATGGGTGAAAAAAATCAAAGAAATGACCTTAGTATATGAGATGAATCGCCTTGAAGCTCAGTTCCGTGAAAGGGTGTACTTCAGAGCCATAAGCAGAAGCAATGACTTGCAGCGAGCACCCGTAACTTGGGTGTCGCTCCTTGGTGCTTCATTCATCTTAAGGAACCGTTGTCGGGAAAGGACTGCCTCCAAGGCCCGGAGTCAAATTGTATGTACTGATCAAGGGAACTCTGTGTTTTGGGGATGACGAGGATTAGTATGTTGTACCCAACGGAACGAAGGTTTAAAGGAGTTGGGAGGAAAAGGAGGTGCTACGAACCCAATCGAGCATGTCAATGTTTCCAAACATGTCCTCGAAATCTGGCATCGTGAAACTCATGTCCTGGGCCAAGAGCGTCTCGTCCACAGCCGAGTTATACATTTCGCTACCACTCAGGGGCATGACTTGCTGCATTGCGTGGTCTGGCAAAGCGTTGCCATTCTCATTGCGAACACTCTCGAGATTGTGCGCGAGAGAGGAGTCTGGGATCTGGATGATGGGGCCGGAGCCCGTAAAGGAGGCGGCGGTGGTTGTGGTGTTGGGGGAGTCGATGCGGTTGAGGATGGCGCGGAGGACGCGCGAGGCGTGGAGGGCGTCGGCGGAGGTGGTGCTGCGGGCGGACCAGATGGAGTAGGCGGTGCGGAGGGTGAGGATGCGCTTGAGTCTGTCTTTGGAGCTGGATGATGGGGGAGAGAAAAGGGGGGGAGGGCCTGTCAGCTTTGACTTGATGATATGCTATGATTCAGCGGGTTAGGGGGGGAGGGGTGAGGAGCTCACTCTATGTCTGCAGATTCGCTGAGATCGAGGCAGATGATCATTGCCGCGAGCAGGAAGTGATGCAGCGTCAAGTTGGACACCATGAACCTATCTTCGTACATTCTCCCCCCAGGCGCCGTCTCCACGTCAAGCTCCGCCTGAAGCTCCAGAATCCTGAGCGCCGACTCCCTGCAAATCTGCCTCGAAGCGCTGTACTCCGGCTCGTGCTTGTGCGAGGTGAGGTAGGGACGGTTCAGGATGCACAGGCTCTTGAGGTACATGAGCTCGAGCATCAGGCGGTGCATGATGGTGTAGTTGGGATCGGTAAAGGCCGTGTCGCGGATGGCGCGGATGCGCAGACACGCCGGCACGGAGTCGTGCCACTCGTGCAGCTCCCGGTTGAGGGCGAGCGTCTCGGCGTACGGAGCCGGCGGGCCGACGACGGCGAGGACGTGGCGCACGACGCGGCGCATGACGGCGCAGAGGTGGGACTTGCAGATGTAGGCGAGGATGGGATGGGGATCGGTGGGAGGGCGCGGCGGCGGCAGGGAGGCGCAGTCCTCGTCAAAGTCGTCGTCGAGGAGGTTCGTGGGGGGGCGGACGTCGCACGCGTCGTCCTGCATGATGATGGGCGGCATGCCACCACCACCACCCTCAGCCGCTCTGCACGTCTACTTCGAGTTGGTCGATCTCGTCTACCACGTTCGCGACCGGCTCTTCTCTTGCTCGTCGCCGTTGCCATTGTCGTTGCCCGTTCCGTTTCTGCTCTGTCTCTGCTCGATAGTGCCCCGCTGCAGCACCTGCCGCGACCAGCTCCCGTAGGCGCTGTAGGTCCTGTACGAGCGCCTACGGCCTCTGCGGCCTCTTCCTCGTAGGGGCCCGGGCCTCGGCCTCGGCCTCGGTCTTGAGGACGAGCCGCGGCACGGCGGGTAGTGCGAGTTGCTGCAGCACCTGTCGGACGGTGGCGCCGTCCTGCGGCTGTCCGAGTAGGACCGGATGAAGTTCCGGTTCAAGCAGCGGCGGTAGAAGTAGGTGTGCGTGGTCAAGTTCGCGGCCATGCTGCGGAAGACCCGGCTGGGAAGCAGGCGCCCGAAGGAGACCTAGTCGTAGGAGAAGAGGTAGGAGTCGTAGCCGTGGTACCAGCGGTTGTGTGCGCTCAGAAGCAGGAGGTTGCGGAGAAGTAGGAGGAGGAGGAGCAGTAGTAGTCGCGGTCTGAGCGTGAAGATGTACCGGTTCAGGCGGGTCACGGAGGAGCGGCCGGCGATGGAGCTGCCGTGGTTCGCGGAGAGGCAGCTCCGGGAGGAGTACGTGCGAGTGAGCGCGTTGCAGGTCTTCGAGCTGAGCCTGAGCAGGGAGACCAGCGAGATGCCGGACCGGCGGGCGGACCGGGTCTTCGTCCCGATGGTGGTTCCCTGGTCCTGTTGTTGGTACTGCGGGAAGCTCCGGCTCTACGCGGCGTCCTGGACCAAGGAGTAGGTCAGCCGACTGGAGGAGAAGAGGAAGGTTTTGC